AGCATAATCCTGTTTATTCGGTGATCCAAAGCACTGATGATCTGAGATAATCGGGGCTGGGAGCGGGGGAGGAGGGACGAGGTTTGCTTTGCCCTGTGGTTGTCTGGGCAGACACAGAGTGCCCGGGGAGGGCTCAGTCACAGAGCAGGGGAGGGACCAGAAACATCCCCCAGAGGAGAGCCAGCCTGGTAAAACAACAGCCTGGGCAGTGTCTGATCCAGATGCCGTGCTCAACAATTCTAAATTGTTATTTTTGTGACTGATTTAATGTAGAAATACTCAGAGTCTGTGTGGGCATGTGAAGCACTTTGTGCAGAATGCTTTGGCTGCCAGGTGGCAGAGGCTGGTGGGTCATCTCCCCACGCTCACTCACGTTTGGAAACCTGCACCTACCTGGTACTTGGATCTAAATTTACTAAAATTACAACTATTATTGCATTTTTGCTAGGCATGAGGCACAGTTTTCACAGGACACTGAATATTTGTAATCAGCCCCTGGGTCTGTGAGGGTGTAGGAGCACATTCTGCAGAGCCCTCCCAAGAAATGTGGTCTGGGAGACTTTCCCCAGTGACCTAGAGCCTTGAAACTGGGCTGTATGAAATCTCTGGAGACAGCACAGTAGTGAGCTTTCAAATGACTTTATTTTCTTGTTCTTGTGATCATTAAAGCTCTCACACTTCATACTCTATCCCATTAATTCATTGGCTCGGGTTTCAGTGAAAGGGCCCATCTTCACTTTGATTTTATCTGTGCTCAGCAGTCAATACTTTCCTGTTGCAGACATTCCAGTGTTTGCAACTTAACTTTTACAGCTGGCATGAGCCGTGGATTAACTTCAAACAGGGATGCTGATTTTGAAGCCTCATTTTATGTTCTCTGGGCTGTCCTAGTCCAGATGACAGGTTTATAGTTTGGGAAGCCAGTAGCAGTGGCTGAGCTCACTGGTCTTTATAACTAAAGCAGTGTTGTTAGGTGCAGCTCCTCACCATGGTGACACTGCAAATATTGAACACAAAGTGATTCATGGCACCCAATACAATGCTTACTTTAATTAATATTTTACAAGATAGGTTGCTTTATTTAACTTCTCAAACGTGAGTGGGTTGGGAAGGACAGAATGTTGCTATGGATAATTTATGGGCACTCATATTTGTGTGCTTGTTTTAAAAATTAAAAAGTATTGTTTGTTTTCTCCTCTCCCTGCTGGCGGATGTTCAGGCCCTTGCAGGGCTCCAGGGGATTTTCTGAGTGTGAGTGTTGAGTGATGGGCTCTGAGAAGTGATGCTCTTGCTCTCCTGCCTCCCTCCCTCCCCTTGTATCCCCATGCAGTCAGTGTGGCAGGGCTGTGTCCTTCCTGGAAGTGCTCTGGGCTGCCCTGAGCACAGAGCAGGCTGCTGTCACCCCACTGGTGACCATCAGACCCCTCAGACCTGAGGTTCAGCCTCTTTCCCTGCAGAAATGACGTTTTGGGTAAGTAACACCAGATTCCTCACTAGAGCTGGCAGCAAGTACAGGAATATGGCAGTTGCAGAGCTTTGGGGCAATGCAGGAAATTCATAATTAGGCAATTAGCCCCAGGGTTGTACTTCTGAAGTGCAATGCTGTAATATGAGCATATTGCAGATTTCCATGCATTTTGACTGGAATTTATTGCACCTAAAATCAATTTATAGACCAAGAGGATGCATCAGCCCATCTATTGAAGTGGTGGCCACACCATCCTCAGAAGTGATGATCTACAGGGTTCTTCACTCTGGGTGTGTCCTAATAATCTGAGAAATCAGATTATTGTGAGACAACCCTCTGAAAAAAAAAAAAAACTTTCTTAATGCTTAGGTTTTTCTATAAATTTCCCTCTTACAACTAAGATTTCCTTTTGTAATTTTTACAGCCATAACTGTAAATAAACAAACATTATAAAATCTGTTAAATTCACCAGCATTCTTCTGCAGGCAGGGAAGAAAATGCCCATTATTAACTCCTGTTTGCTGCAAAGAAGTGCCCATTAGTGTGTGTCCAACCCCTTTATATAAAACTGAGAGCAATGAAGTCACTGACAGGGCTTTTATTTGTCTATGTTGAGTCCTGCAGAGATGGAAGAGAAAAAAAAATCCTGCATTAATAAAAGAATAAATTCCTCTTCACGTTAACATAAAATGCTTCTACAGTGATGAAAAGATTTGGGCTTGCTCCAGTGTGGCATGAGGCATGAGTGTGGTTTTCCCCGTGTGGTTGGTTTTTGCATTTCTTTCAACTTGCTCTTTGTAATCCATTTCCAGTTGGGTTTTTTCCTTCCCTTTCCAATCTGACATATAACATGATGTTACAAATTCTGGCCTGTGACAGCTTGAGGAATATTTATGTCTTTGGACAAAATATCTTCCCTTCCAAGTCAATTTGAAATGCCATGGAAACGTTTCACTCCCGAGGTTTTGTTTGTCATTGTTGGTTATTAAAAACCTCTGCCCAAGGTCAGCAGTGACACAACAATCCTTTGCAGGAGGCATTTTCAGGGATTTTGCATGGATAGCTTCAGGAAGTGAGGAAGGGGTGATGGAGAGGAGAGGATGATAGAGATAAGACCTTTTTCTGTACTCTTTCAAAGGTTTCTTCTTCTTTGCAAAGTGTGCAACCAGAAGTAACCACGAGGCAGGAGCTGGAACTGCTCACAAGCCTGGCCCAGCCTGATGTCAGGGCACAACCTCTGGTGAGCTTGTTTTCTTTCCCTGTCCTCACAGCTGGGAATATGCCATGATTTAAAAGCAGTGTGGCATTAACTGCCCCATTACACACAGCAGAAAGCTGAGGGACTGACCTCGGCTGCCAGAACAAGTGTTTTAATGCTGCCCAAAGTTCAAATCAATCAAAAGGTCAAACTTGTTTAAGTAATAAGTGATAAGAGGGGCGATGGAAGCTCGTTCCCACTTGTTGGAATTAAGCCAGGCTGGCTGCAGGAAAATCTCCAGATAGGATGAGCCCTGAGAGCAGTGACAGATGAGAAACTCAGGGCTGAGCCTCCCCTTACTGGAGACAGAGAATTCCCACGAAATGCAAGAGAAGAAAAGCAGACCCTGGTGCGTGGGACTTCAGGTCATTCTCCTGGTGAAGCCTGCTCAGAGACAGCTCACAGTGCCTTGGTGTTGGTGGAGTTTTTGGTCTGCTGATGGAGAGGACTGAGAGGGAAAGGGGATTTTCAGCCTGGAAGGTTTGTCCCTGTGAAGGGGGAAAGGCTGAGGTTACTTTTGTAGTGCACAGAGCCCAGAGCAGCTGAGCTGGCCCTGGGGCATCTCTGCCAGCATGGGCAGGTGGGATGTGCAGAAATCTGGTCAAGTTTGAGGGAAGTGGCATCTTCAGTTTATCCCCTTTGGGGAGGAAGAAGGAGCTCACACCTTGCTCAGCTGAGACTGGAACAGAACTTTTTTCCCTTTCCAAAGGCACAGTTTTCCCCTCTCAGTGTTTTCTTCTGTGCAGGGGAGAAACTTCTCTGTGGAAAACCTTCCTGCTGGTTCTGTGGGGGGCTGCTCAGCACCCTCAGCTGGTCTTTGGAAAGCTCTTTCCACAGTTTGTAATGGCTGCTTTTTCTAATGGCTTTATTTAAAACTAACAAAAGCAAAAAAAAAGAGAGAGAGAAGAGAGAGTGAGGAATTAAAGTCTGCTCCTGCCATTTGAGTTATGGTGGGGGACATGGGGACATTAGCCTCTGTGGCACATGGCCATGCTTTCATAAGCTTGCAAGAGATGGAGTTTTTCTACATAGGTTTTTTTTTTTGGTCAAAGAAAGCATTCTGCAAAGGCTGACTACAGACAAAATCCCTGGTCTTTTTGGCAGAATTCCCTGGTACTTACACAGCCAGGTTTTCTGTGCTCCAGCTCTGGTGTGTGACCCATGCTTTCAACACATCCAGGGCCAAACGAGGATCTTTTGGCTCGGGGCTGAATCTGACCATTCTCCTTCTACAGCAAAGATGTAAATAATTCTATGGGTGGGAGGAGAAAGGTGATATTCAGGATGAGGAAAGGTGGCCAAGACTGCTGAGCTGGCTCTAAGAGGAAGGATGAGGACCAAGCCACAGACCTGCTGTATCAAAAGTCCAGCTCCAGACTGCTCAACCTGCCCCCCCTGCAGCCTCTGGGGTCAGCTCTGTGCTGCTTTTCACTGTGGCCAACCAGCAGCACTGCAACTGAGAATGGGGATTTTTCCGAGCTCTTGCTCATGACACCAGATGTGCCTGTGCCTTTTTTCAAGCTCATTTGAATGTATGTAATGGACTTCTGGCTTTGAGAAGTCATCAGTTACCAGATGTCTTTTAAATTGTCTACCACACAAAATTGTCCGTTGCCAGATGTCTTTTAAATTGTAAACCCCTGCAGTCAGAGGTTAAAGCTGTGTCAAAACAGTCACTGATATGAATTCATATTACATTTTAAATGCACTGTAATTTCCTCCAGCTCTTTCCTCTTGAAAGTCCTCTCATGGAAATGTTATGGCTCACCCAAGATTTGCCACCTGCCCGTCGCTAGAGATTCAGTGATAAATGCTTTTAATAATTAACAGTGGCAGGGGCTTTGTACCTCTGTCTCGTGGAGGTCTCACCTCTCAGCAGAAATAAAAGCCTGTTGTTACAGGAAGAATAATGATCTGGATGCTGGTGGAAGGCTCCTGCAGCTGCACCATCACTGCAGATCTACACCTGGAGTTGTTTGCCAGCAGGATTTTGTCCTGGGCCCAGTTTGGAGCTCAAGGCAGCTGGAGAAGCAGCGATGCCTGCAGAGCTCCTGAGGTAAAAGAGGTTTGGGGTTGTGTGGGGCTGGGAAGGGGCTGTGCAAGTCAAAAGGACAAGAGGGTTGGGTGCGAGTTTCCTTCTTAATCTGACTCTCCAGGGTCTCATCCAGCCTCTGTGCTGGCTGCCAAAAGCTCAGACTGAGTGGCTATTTTGGGATACAGCAACACCAAGTGTTACTTCAGAGATGTTTGGAGAGAGATTTAATAAAATCAACTAATAAGGTTTGACGTGCTGAAGATTAGGAAAAGTCATTCCGAGCATCTGAAGTGAGCTCAGGGTGGGAGGCTCAGGGGAGTCATGTGTTATCCTGGGGATGGAAGCCCTCCTGGTGGGACAACAGCAGCTCAGCTCTCTGTGAAACCATCTCTGAGCTGTGAGGGCAAACCAGCAGGGCAGCCTGGCACTGGATATTTGCCTTAAAATTAAAAAAAATAAGGAAGGGAAGAGGGAGCAGCCCCTCTCCCTGCAGCAGGCAGCTGGGGTGACTGCAGCAGTTGTTCCCCTGTAAATCACCCTGTCCCCAGCCCAGGGGCTGGCACTGGGCAGCGAGGTCCCAGCTCACAGCCGGGCACTGCCCTCACCCCTGGTGCCAGCTGCTCGGGGCTGTCAGCTTCTGGTTTTGTTTTGATGGTTTAGGGGTTTTTTTCCCTTTTTTGTCACAGGACCAGCCCAGAATAGGATCACGAGGTCAGTGTTTATTACTTTCCAAATAATCTATAGCCTGGTTTGAGTGCTGACACCGTTTGAAGGGCGGTGTCACTGCTGCACTCATGTTTCCATGTGACGCCACTGCTCACTGATTTTTCCCATTTCATAACTAATAAGTGAAGTGAGCTTGACAGCCTCAGTTTCAGCTTCAGCCTGTTGGTTCCCATGTCACAGATAGGCTCTGTTAGCAGCAAATTCTTGTCAGGAGAAGAGAATTACAGCTGAAGCTTGAAATGTGCTGGTGTTCAGTGCAAAGCTTTAAATTCTTGACCAAAGTTAGATAAAGGCAGCTGAAAGTGTGACGTTTGAAATGCACTATCTATTTATCTTTTCTTCCTCACCAAAAATACCTAGACTGGAAGTATGTGTATTTGCATCCAAGCTGAGAACAGTTGAGCTCCTCTAAAAAAAAAGGATAAACAGAGCATTTAAAATATTCTGGGTTCTAAAATCTGTGCAACTGTCCCTCTCCCTAGATATGTGTAGATTATCTGTATTGAAAGAAAAAGGTATGTATGGACATATCTTTAAAGAAAAAGGAATGGTTAGTTCTCAAGGTGTGGGAAGCTTATTTAACTGGTAATAGGAAAAAAATGTTAGTTCTCCCCCAGCAGTCATTAATAGCTCTGAGTACAGATGGAGCTTTGATATGATCACACTTTTGCAGAGAGAATGTGCTGTATATCCTGCTGCTAATCCTGGGGTGGAAATCAGCTCCTCCTGGCACCTGCTGCCAGGACCTGACACAACTGACTTCAGCTGCAGCATTTGCAGCCTCCTGGCTGGATTTTGGGTTTGGGCATGTCCCAGCTGGGTAAGTCAGTGTGGGGCACTTCCTTGGCCTGATGTCCTCCTGTAAAACCTCCCTCAGAGGCACCATTCCGTGCTGCCCTCCCTTCAGCCCAGCCATTCCTTGAATCCATTTCTCCCTGCTGGCTGGGGGCTGCTCCTCCCCTCTGGGCACAGCAGAGGTTTGTGTCCACACAATGTTTTCAGTTTTGGCTTCCAGCAGGATGAGCTAGCCCTCATCCCAGCCTGGAACAGCCTGGGATGTGCAGCAGCTCCTGGGGTCAGATGGGGAGCTGGGAGCTCCCTGTGGAGCTGGAAGCCCAGGTGCAGCTCTGGGATTCCTTAGGGAATGCTGCTTCCAGAGCCTTCCTGGCTGGCTGTGCTGCCAGGCTGCCACAAAAACTGCAGCTAAACATGGGTCCTGATGGTTTTGGCCTCTTTGTTAACATTTGGCAACCAGATCTTGTTATTGAAAAGTTTTCCAGAAGCTGAGTGGAAGACTGGAGGGGGTTTTGGAAGGGCTTTTTTGGTAATGGTTTGAAAAATTTATGGTTTAGATCTGAAGGGACCCTTAGCCTGACCTCTGGTGTATAACAGAGAGTATTGAATTTCCTGCACTTAACTCCCACAGTCTGTCCAAGAACTGCCTAAGCACTGTGCCTTCCTAGGGAAAAAATGCTCTTAAATGCACTCATTTCAGCATGGTAGAAATGTTTCTTATCCCTGATAGGGAGGAATGGGATTTTCCAGAAGGGTCTGGGATGAGGAACTTCTAATCTAGGCTGTCCATGCCTTCCCCCTGGCCTCATCCCTCTCCCCAAGCAGCACCCTGTGATCTGTTTGTGTCCTCTCCTGGTTGTGCTGGAGGTTGGAGAGACATTAAATGAGCTAAAGGGGTATGGAGGGGAAGAGGTATCCACTTGGGAATAAAGAAGGGGCAGGCATGAAACCCAACTCAGCAGGGACAGGGTTAATGTGACCTTGTCCCACATTTGGGTGAGAGATTTTCAGCTCAAAACAGGTATTTATTATTCCACACAGATGTTTGCAATGACATATGAGCCACCAGTGCTGCTCCTTTGCCCAAACTCTGTTGGGGCAGGCGCAGAGCAAAGAGCTGTCCCTGTCCTGGAGTCTCAGACTCACAAGGTAATTACTTCTCTTTGTCCACTAATTTCCTCTCCCAGATTTAAAGTGCAATGAAAAATAAATGTTTTTAAGTGACCTCTTGAGATAGCTGTGCTGCCAGCAGGCCCTGCCCTGCCTTGGGTAATGGAAGGCTGGGGGGTTCACAGATTTGGAAAGCTGCAGCATGCCTTTGCTAAAATGACACAGATTAAGATATTCCAGAGATTATCTTCCAAAAACATGGTGGTCAAGGGCTTAATGACTTAAATTGTGGTCAAATGTCTGCTTGTTATCAATTGTCTATTGCCAGTTAAGCTGCATTAATGAAAGTCTCTTGATAAAAGCTGCCTTATCAGCCGGAACTGAGATACCCAGCCTAATGTGCTCCAGCAAGGCTGGAGGAAATTCTCTTTTCAGCAGCAGAGGAGACGAGGTGTCGCTTTCCTGAATTAGGCTGAGTCAAATGGATGGTCAAACCCTCCAGAAAGAAGTAATTTCTTTCACCTTTTGTGTAAAGGGCTGCTTATCCATGTGTGAGGAAGGATTCTGGCTGTCTTGCAGGAGCTGAGGGGCCAAGCAAACACACCTTGCTGGGGCTGGAGGCATCACTGCACCCTGAGGGGGTGGCACAGCACATCCCTCTGCCATAACCACTTCCTTCCTTGGAGAAAATGGGCTGAAAATGGTATTTAACATTGTTGATGACAATTTTTACAGATTTATTACCTGGTTTTTGTTCACTGTTTGGCTGCCTGCTCCCTTTCCATCTGCCAGCCCTGTAATCCACCTCCTCTTATCTCAGCACAGTGCTCTCCACCTCTTGCTCATTTTCATTTTATTGCCTAGCTAATCTCATCCTCCTGCTTTTCCTGACACGGCTCCCTCCTCCCCATCTGTGGAGATTAAATCACTGCTCCTTTTGTCTGATGCCACTCAACATTCCCCCATTTCACCCAGGCTTTGGGACGCTTCCAGGCACTTTTGCTGTTGTTGCACACATCCGTTTTCCTGGCACAAAAAGGCCCATCAGCATCTGATGGGAGCGTTAGAGAGGCCTCTTTCAACCAGTTCTCAGAGATGTCCTGAATCTGAAATGGAGCCCAGCTCAGCCTGCCCAGTGCAGCCCAGCCAGGTGTGTGTCTGCAGCACCAGGACCATCAGCAGGATGCTCAGGGCAGTGCTGACAGAGCCTGAACATTAGCTGAGAAAATTCTAGACCAAAGGTGTGGGCTAGGAAATCTCTAAGCTCTCAAAATGTGAAGTTTTGGAAGTGGTTTCTCTTTTTATTGTAGTCAACCATCTTCCCTATTGACAACCTGTCAGTGTTCATGGCCTCAACATTTTTTTCTAATTACTGCTGAGGCTTTTGGGTCAAGCTTGAGCAGCCTCCCTGTCGAAGGGTGTTTAGGTCATCCTGGGATAACAACCATGGGTAGGGATGCTGGATTTTCATGCCACGTGTTTCTGGCACCCTTCCACCTTCCTGCAGTGCTGGAGACTCTCAGCAGCACCTCCTCCGCCTGTGGGATTGTGCAAGGCCTTGAAGGCAGTGCTGCTCATGTGGGCTCAGGACAGGGACCAGCAGAGCCTTTAACTCCCCAGAATATTCCAAGTGTGTTTCAGGGACCACATTTCCTCACAGGGCTCCTCACAGCTGCCACTTGCTGTTCCTCCTGCTGTGAGCACCCCAGTGTGTTTGCTGCCAGAACAAATCCTAAAGTCTTGGTTCAAATTTGGAATGATTCCCACTCCAAATACATGGAAGACGGTCCCCTTAGCAAGGACTCCTGCTGTCTGACCCTAATCACTGAGTTTAAATGTTCATTTTTATGCTATTTGGGTTGCACCTCTTGCCTTAATCTCAACTTGCAATACCAACCATGGTGCATTCACTGTATCTCCCCTCACCGCCTTTATCTGCCAGCATGTTTTAAATTAGTTTAAAGAGTATGGAAGCTAAAAAAAAAAAATAAAAAGAAAACTAACCAAAAAACCCAGGCAGCTTCAGATGAAAGCCAGCAGCATGCCTTTAAAAATAGAGCAGCAGCCCTGTGCGAGGTGCCGAGCAAGTGGGAGCACGGGCGGGGAGCTGCAGAGGCTCTGTTTAAACAGAAGGTAAATAAGTGGCTGGGGGAGCTGCAGTTCATCTTGTTCCCTTACGTGTTGCCCAGATAATGCAGCAGATCCTCGGGCAGGCTGGTTCTAAAAATGGACACAGCTCTTGGGTTTCACGGGGTGACGCTGGGGCCGCCTCCGGTGCAGCCTCCGTGGGAGCAGCGCGAGGCCACGCCAGGAAAATGGCATTTGGTGCTCCAAACCAGCAGCACTGCTCAGCTCTTGGCACTGCTGCTTCATGAAGAAGACTTCTGCAGTGAAGGTCTTGTGACTTTATACCATGGTATAAAGTTGCTGTCTGTAAATCCCTGGGGTCAGGCAGTGTTTTGTTCAAATTCCCTTTCCTGCTGTGGTTGACCTGTGAAAACAGCAATCATCTGACAGTGACAGCAGCACTTAATTAGTAATTCAGGATTAAAGTGAGCTGTCCAGTGAGTGATTTCACAGGAGCAGAGTTTAGGATTGAAGCTAGTTTAATATAACAATTGTCTTGAAAGCCTCCTTGGCATTTTAATGGTGTTTTTCTTTGGTCTAAATATATATGAGAAGTTGAGAGGATGTTTAAAACTGAGCAGGGTATAAAAGGGACCAAGAGAAAGACTGAAAGGTCTTGTCCAAGCTCCACCCAGTTGTGTGAGCCCATAGCTTCCCTAGGACAGGGCGTCATCCCAGGGATCTGCCCCAGTCACCATTCCTCTCACTGCTCCAGATGAGCATAAGTATTTTTACCTTCCTTGTCACCCTCCTCTCTCCTGCCTAGTTGAGCTCAGCTCAGCTGTGCAAAGGACAGGGATTTGTTACCCTTCAGTGGCTGCAGCAATGGCCAACCAGCCCTTCCCTGCTCCCAAGGAGACTGTGTTTGGATTGAGCATATGTTGCTCACTGGAACGGAGAATTCTCCATTTTTATTTTTTTTTCTAAATGAGTTTTCTCAGGCTGTTCCCGTTCAGCAAATTCAGGAGAGAAAGGGCAGCAGTGCCCCTTGGCCAGACCATGGCAAGCACTTCTGTTCTCCTACAGGAGCAGGCAGAATGCAGCCTCCCCATGGCAATAGAGTGATCCTCTGTTGGGTGAATTGTTGCTTACAAGGTTAATTAGCTGTAGAAAATGAGCTAGAATACTTGGGAGTAATGAATCATAATGAGTCATTATATTTGAGGAGTGACAAATTAAATTCATGCATGTTTTGGACTACTTGTTTTAGTCAGAACGGAAAATAGTGCTATGCTTTCTTCTGCTGTTCTGCTTTCATGTCAAGATGTCAGGAGATAAATCAATATGGCCAGAGCTTGTAAAGTCTGCCACTGCTTGATTGCATGATGTTTAATCTCTCTCCTGGATTCTTGAGCTGGGCTGGGAGCAGGAGCTCCTCTGGAATCAATAATTTTGCTTCCACCTTCAACAAGAGGGATTTTGATCTGTTACTGAGAAAACATGAAGCTTCTCCTAAGCTGAAAGAGAAAAAAAAAAAGGAAGTTGTGATGTCCTAATGCCATGAGGGGTAGTGTCCTCTGGCTGCTCTGACTGAGGTGTAGCACCTCATCTAGGGAAGTACATTAAATTACAGCTCCACCTCGACACCAAGGTGAGTCAAGGGACTTCTTGGTAGTAAGGTTCATGAGATCCTTCAGCTCCTGCTGCCCCCAGAAGAATCTCTGGAGTTTTTCTGTGGAATTAGACCAAGCAATATAGCCAGCCAAGGAGCAGACAGACATTGTGACCCCTGAAATAAATGGAAAGCAAGGATAAGCAAGCTGCTCCTACCTGGAAGATAGCTGCTGGAATCTCAGTGTAAGACGAAGGACACAGTGAAAAGAGGATCTTGATGAGAAGAATTCATTCTTCGTCCCCTTCAAGCATTATAATATATCCCTGGATGAGCTGAAGCCTGGCACAAGCTGCTGTGCTTGGTTTGGGTTTTTTTTTTTTGGTGTGGTACCAAGGTTCAGCTGGTTCAGGGCTGGAGGAGCTGTGAGCAGTGGGAGGATTTGAATTCACAGCCTTCCTTTTAAATATATCAGTGGTTCCAGGAGGGCAAGTGGGACTGCTGCTGACTCAGTTCTTTGCTGGATTGATGCCTCTGGAAGTGTTTGGAGAGATTTGACAAATCTTTCTGTCTGTTGAAGGTTCCCATGGTGTTAGCTGTTTGTCACCACTGGGATAAAACATCTTTCACACCATCTCGGAACAAAGAGCACTTTGGGGTTCAAAGACAGAAGGCACCAACTGGCACTTAGTTTTGCTACTAATTATATGCCAGAACCTAATATAAGTTAGGCCCAAATTAGTGCATTTCTCCAGATGTTTTCACAGTTGCCCTGTGGGTTATGTTCTGAATTTTTAAGCACTCATTTGGGTCCTTCTCACTCCACTGATGTGGTTGGTCCTGGCGTGGTCAGGTGCAAACTCCCACTTACTCCACACTGTAAGGCATCACTGACACAAAGTGGAAAATTCTTGGGGTGCTGAGCTCTTTCAGGAGGCAGCCAGTGGGGTGACTGCTTACAGACCTGGTCCTGTGCTTGGAGATGTGGATTCATGTACAATATCTTCTGTGAAAGCAGCTATTCTTGCTCTTGCCAGGCTACTCTGAAGACCCATACAATGATGTTAATTGTAAGCCACAAGCTGGCTCTTATCTTCAAATTGTTTTTCCCTGACAATTTTAAGAAGAGCTCAGCATGTTCTCAGTAGGAGCTGATAGATGCTAAGCACTTCTGAAATCCTGCCAACTTCATTTAGGTTCCTAAACAGGAACTGAGTGCTCTTGAACATATGATCCTAAGGGTGCATTTCATAACTCTACAGCTCTGTCCATATCATTTCTTTCCTCTCTCCCTGTCCCCAGAATGTTCCTGGCAGCAGCAATAACACCAGGAGCACCAGGCTAGTCAAGGCTTGAGTGATGTCTCAGTTGTCAGCTCAAGCCACACTGGGCAGAATTAAGTGCCAGCAGTTAAAAGGTGCCTGTCTGCATCCTGTGTGCAGTGAGGTCCCCAGCATCACTACCAGCAGAATGGATGTCTTTGAGATAGCTGTGATGGATTTTATATATGTACATGAAAACAATAATCTAGTGCAAATTCTGCCTTGTTTTTCAGAGTATTTCATGCCATGTTTCATGCCATGTACACTGTACTTGATAGTGTTCTGACTCAATTTCAGGATTCAAATTTTCTCCTAAGCAGATTCTTGGGGCAGATGAAATGAATATTTTGCAGTGTTCATGGGGCAGGAGAGGAGGGCAGACAGGCCTTTATCTGAAGCTTTTCCGGCAGAGTTAATGCATGGACAGCATCTGTTTTGGTGCTGTGAGGCTGACATCCTCTCCCAGCAGACTTGGCAGCGAGCGGAAGGACCACATGTCAAAAAATCCGGGGGGGCCCAAACGCTGCGGACAAAAGTGCGGCAAAGAATTTAAACATCAGTGAGGGAGTGCTGCTGGAGGGCTGGCGGGGAGCGATTAGCACAGTGCTCTGGAATGTGGCGTTTCAATAGCGCTCCAGAAGGCTCCGCAGCCCCATTGACTTGGGCAGGGTCAGGATGGGGCTGGTGGGACGGGGACGTGCGGGGCCGTGCGTGCAGTGACAGCCCCTCTCACCGCCCCGACCCGCCCAGGGCTTCCTTCTGGTGTGGTTAAACACTGATCCTGCCAATTTAATAAAGATAAACATGAAATTTATTTGTGACTGATGTACAGACCCGACAGTCAAGGGCAGCACCAACCCCGGGATCGGAGCTGGGTGAACTCAGATCAGCCTCTATTGCGCCAAATCCCCTGTTCACCAATGCCACTTGGCATGGTCCATTCTTATACTCTTTTTCTTGCCCGGGCAGAGTCCCTTTGTCTTTCCTCCAGGTTCTTCATATTCATGTTGCCTCTGTTCTCTGTCCTGGGCTGGACAAAACCTCGTCCAGGAATTGATGTGTGTCCACTCTTGGGTTCTGGAATCCCGCACTCAGATGTATGTCCTTGATGGTCCCCTCTGTCTAAGATGAACATCTCCATGGGCCATCATCCCTGGGCGTTCTCCTGTTCATACCACTGAGAATGTCCATCTCCTGTGCCCTCTAGGTTCACTTCCTATGTTAATGACACATCTCCTCCTCGGCTGCCAGCTGTGGTTTCACCACCCTGTGAAGTAATCTCCTTTTCCCTTGCTAGAGTGATTTCAAGGTTTTATATTTTATATATATATATTTAATTTTTTTATCAGCACGAACTGCCACAATATACATAACACTTCCCTCCACAGCAGCCAGGTGTGCACAAGGTGCTCTGCCAGAGCCCCCTGGGCACTCTGCAGCAGTGCCAGCTGCTTGCTTGCCCTGGGCTGATGTAAAGCCACCTGTGGCCATGATCCAGCTGTTGCCAGCTGTGCGGTGGGGCTGGGTTTGAGTGTTTTTCTCACGTTTGTCAGTGTGGGGTTTGGGTGGTTTTACTCCACTGGTTTTGGTTTCTTTGGGAATGGACCCAGCAGGACTAAGCATGTGTCTGTGGTCGCATTCACTTGTTTTGTTTTGTTTTCTTTGAATTTTCCTTCCCCTCCCACCTACTTCAGATTTCTAGGTAAATAAATCCAAGTGTGGAATGAATTAAAAATAAAGCTGGGTGGAAGGCCTGGCTGATGTGAACACATGCTTTTTTAGTTGAGGTGGGAGAGGAGCACACTCATTCAAGCCCTCATCTAGGGCAGGGAATTCCCTGGCTTTTGTCTAAATATGGCATGCGAGAGCAGAGCACAGGCAGTGCAATGCTTCACTGAGTATTGTTTAAAAGGGAGCTTGGCACCGGCCAGCAAGTAGGATTCTTGTGAAAACATGGCACAAGGAGTTGTTTGACAGATTCTGACATGGCAAAGTATTTACAAGAGAAAAAAAAAAAAGGAAAAGAGAGAAACTGCAGAATGTATCATGAAGCCAAAAGCATATTGTCTGCCTAGGAAGATTGCAGAATAAAAGGTGCTTAGCACTGAGTCATACCCTGCATGCTCTGTGGGCCTGATCCTATCAGTGATCTGTGGCACTGAGTTAAAAATCCACTCCTAAATGATTGCCTCTCTCACCAGGAGAGGGTATGAGGAACAGTGAGAGCTGGGGAAGAGGCTGCCATGGCTTGAAACCACTGGCCAGAGTCTCTACGCCAGACTTGCCAGGTTGGATGGATCCAGACTCTGCCATCCTGCAGGCAGTGGCATTTCCCCAGCAGATCTCTGGATGCAGCACTCAGGCCCAAGCAATCCTGTGGTCTGTGTAGGTGTCTCCCTTTTGCAAAGCTTCTGCTGAGTTGTGGCTTTGAATCCCTGTTGCAGCAGCAATCCCTGCCTGGAGGAAACTTCTCCCTCTGCCTCTCCTGCATCTGGAGACATTGTGAGAACCTTGGAGCACGAAGGCCTTTGGACATCTCAGCAATGGAGAATTTTGTCTCCAAAAGTCCTGGTCTATTTTTGAAATATGGCCATGATGTGAATGTGTTTTGAGGCAGGGAAAACTTGTCCAGAACTCAGCACTTCTGGAGGTCTCAGATGAGAGCACATCACTCGATGATTCTACTACAGACAAGAGCTGCTGGACAGTCTGTGCAGCTCATACAGAGGAGGACTTGGCTCAGCCTTCCCTAAATTTGCCTTGATGGCAACATCCATGCTTGATCATAGCTGGAGCTTCCTCTCATCAAAGGAAAGTCACTCTTCCTCTGGTTGCTTGTTTGGATGGTGTCTTGCAATGTAAACTGGATTGATAGGAGTAGTCTGTAATTAGCACATGCCCCCAGGCAGTTTTGTTGTTCCTGAAATGCAAGGCCTAAATTGTTCTGCTGCCACAGGATTGGTTTGGTGAGTGCTTTAGCTGCTCTGCACGTGTTAGTGAAAGCTGTTCCCTAAGAGTGGTCTGGATGGATCAGAAGCCAGGAGTCCAGATCCACCCCTGTGGGCACCTTCCAGTGAAACCAGAGGTTAATCCATCACGTGCTGCCTGTGAGATGCACTCCATGGCAAAGCAACACAGCCCAGGGGTTTCTGTGTCATCTCAGCAAAGCTCAAGGGAGAGCAAGGCACGGGAGCACTCCCCCACCCTTTCTGAGCACTTCAGATGATGTCGTTAATTGTAGTGGAGCTGCTGCAAATATTTCAGAAAGCAAATATTTGGTGTCCCCATCCAGCAGAAAACAAGCAGAAGAACCAACCACCTGCCACTCACTTGGTCACCTCAACAAACCCAGGCTGGGGCTGAGAATCAATAGCAACGACGCTGAGCCTTTGTGGTGAGTTCTCTCTGAGCCAGAGCTGAGCTGGGAGAGCAAACAACACCTGGGGGAGCTGGGCACGGGCTGGAAGGGAGCAGGGATGGTGGGCAGAGGCTGTTTGTGCTCCTGGCTGGGGCTGTGGCACGGGCAGGAGGAGGAGGATGCCTCCATCAGCCCCTGGTGAGTGGGTGCCTTGCCCTGCCCTGGGTGGGCAGCACTCCTCTGTGCCTGCCAGGAGCAAACCTGGAGGGGAACTGCCCCAGCCCCTCCTGCTGGGGTCACAGCACAGCACAAATGGCTCTGGGAAATCGCCTGTCTGGCTGAGGCAGCAGATCCATCACCACTCACACCTCTGCCCAAGCTGGATTCCCTAAGGAAACCCGGGAATTTTGCCCTCACTGAAAGCAGGAGGATGGCACAGTACCCGCTCTGGCTGGGCCCAAATTCCCCATGTCCAAGTGATCTGCATTTGGGTGCTGGGTTTTTTTATTCTTTATCTTTTTGTTGTTGTTGTTTTTAGCCTTCTAAAAACAAACTTCAGATTTGTCAGCTGGAAGTGATCTCATGGCATTACAGATTTGCTTTCCTGGGAAACTGAACTCTTCTGATGTAATGATGGGAAAGTCTCACCTTCCCTAATATTCCTTTAACCAAGGTTCTGTTGAAATTAGCTTGGCAGGGCAACAGCTCAGAAACAAAGACACAGAAGAAAACCCTTTGTTACTATTATCTTCTTTATTCTATTTATTTTCTTACCCATCTCGTGATTTTGGGGAGATGGCAAGTGATTTTTTAATCTTTACTGGCACATATCCAAATCTGTAGAGAAGGATACATTTTACTAATACAGGAGTCTGTTTGTCCCACTGCCAGAAAAAAAAAAAATAGAGGCAAGCCCCAATAATTAATTATTGTCTTGGGTAGTTTTCTTTGAGCTGCAACACTGTCTGCTCACTCCTCCTCTTTTTTCTGCCTCTTACAAATTCTTTGCCCAAGTGGAAGCCCAGCTCAGTGAACCCAGTGCAGTATCCCTGTGCTCAAGTGAGGATGGGCTTGGCTCCTCTTCAAAGGGATCTTTTATCGAGTGTTCAGTGTGATGTGACAAAGCAGAGAAGTGTGCCATGCATGTGGTGCTTCCAAATCCCCTCCTTCTACCTTGATTAAACTCGAGGGCAATTACCCTTGCCAGGGTGATGAGGGCTGCCAATGTGCATCTTGTTTACAGCTGTGCTCAGTTTTTTTACCTTGTTTTCCCATTTTGCACTGGGACAAAACTCTTCTGCTTTATGCCATGGATGAAATCCATTTTAAATGCCAAGTTGCTCCTGTTTTGCCACAGGAGCTGTGGGATTCTGGACGTTGTGTTTCAGGCTGGCACAGTTGCTGCCATGTGCAAAGTGATGCCCAGGCCCCAGAGACCTGCAAGGTCTCACTGTCAGTGCAGGGAAGCTTTGGATGGGGCCAGTAGAAACGAAAAAGATTTATTATGGGACTATTTTATTGTGCTAGGAACAAGAATTTACTGTCTGGTGTGAGTGGGCTTTAGACGCTGCTGTAAATTCCAGATGGAAATTTCACAGCATTTGCCATATTTTGCCATATTTTATTTTCTGTGTTTCGTTTTCATTTCTAGAATCTGCTTTATTCTGAATTCTGATAAATTTAGAACTTCTTATTTTCAAAAACAAACAACCACACCACATTTTGGCAAAAAATTCTTGGGTAAACATTTTTATTTTACCAATTTCCCAATTGCCTATAGCAGTCACTTTAAAAATGGCTGCATCTAACTAATTTTACTTGAAAAATATCCTGTTTCTTTTTTTCTCTCTGTTTTTTTTTCCTTTCACAAGAAGCAGGCCAGATTTTAGAGAAACTTTAACAGAAAAAATGCACATCAGCACCCTGAGATATTTCCATGTTTGGCTTTGAATCTGTCAGTTTTATGTGGAGAAAAAAAATACATTGTGAATTTTCTAGTTCAGAGATTTTGTAGTGTGGTGATTTGGGCAGAATGCACTGAGGACAGGAGCTTTTTCCCTGGTCATTCCTGCCTCACTCTGTGTTTCACCCCTCACTCTGTGCCCTGGCAGCCTCCTCTTTTCTCTGAATAATTTTCTTCCTTTTTTTTTTTTTTTTTAATTTGACTAAAATGACATGAAAGTCTGTTTCAGCTGATGATGACACGATGCTGAACTTTTCTTTGCCAGGACTCTCTGGTTGCCCCTGGGGCCATCAGACAATGGTGGGACAGCAGACCCAGCTCCCTGCTGCTCCTGGGATGTGATTGTGCTGCGGTGCCAGGAGCAGCGTGGGATTCCACTTGGCACCTTCCTGGGAGGGGTGGCCCTGCAGGCAGAGCCAGGGAGAGGCTCCCACAAGCTGTTCCCATTCCTGCAGCAGCCCACCTGTTCTCTGCTGTGCTGGAATACCAGCCAGAGCCTTGGCTCTGTTCTTTCGGGCTGTGAGGGGTGGTTTTTAATCCCTCTATTCAGTGTTTCCAGGAACAGGAGGAGAAGCATACGGCATATGCTCACCTCGGCTCCCAGGAGGGCTGGGGGAGTGTCCCAGCAGCTGCTGGGGTGATCCTTGTCCTTCTGTCCTCCCACAGCCACGTCCAAAGGTGTGCTCAGGGTGCCTGGGCATCACCCCACAAGCAGGTGAAGCAGGTGGTGTCCCTTCCTCCCCTCTGCAGCCAGCAGCGTGGGCAAGGGTGTCGCAGGGCAGAGATCACCCCACAAGCAGGGGGTGTCCCTTCCTCCCCTCTGCAGCCAGCAGCAGGGCAGAGGGACTGGAGAGGGACTCCATCCTCTGCTGGTTTTCCTTCCTGCATCAGCTCCAGAGCAGGGCTGGGAGCACCTCAAAGGCACAGGCTCTCCCTTCATGGTCACAGTGGGGCTTTTGGGGTATGGGTGCCTTGGGTGTTTGGAAGTTTGTTGGATTAAGGACTCTGGTTTGACCAAAGCAGGTGAGATCTGGATGCGGCTTTGGGCTTGAAGCACACGAGATATCTGCAGCAGTAGAGTGGGGAGAGCAGGCTGAGTGCTGGGCTCCTGGACCTTGCACCTCCCCATGTCTGTCCTTGCCACCAAACCTCCAGCACACCCATCCTTGATGTCCTGCTCATTGCCTGACCCTGGTGCTGACCCGGCTGCAGCCAACAGGAGCATGGCATAACTGGCACCTCATCTTCTCCCTTCTCTCTTCCCTCCCGTGTCCCCTCCTGCTCTCGCTGCCTCGCCTCTCTGGGCACCATCTGCTGGGTTTGGGGCTGTCTCCCCTCACCAACTGTCGTTTGTCCTGGCTGTGGGGGAAATGTGCTCACGTTTTGCATCAAAGGACCCCTCAAGCCCTCTCTTTGTGGACCAGCCGGGCTGTCGGAGAGGAGCCAAGCAGTTGGCACTCACTAAGCAACGAGCATTAATAAAAGCATTACACTGGGGTTAGAGCCTCATTAAAGTACTGCTAACGAACCGTCTGCCTCCCAGAAGCATGAAATTTTAGCTAACACTTCCTCCTTCTAATTTTATGTACATTTAAATCTTTCTGGGCAGGCAATATTCATTTCTCCAGGCTGCTGAGGCATAAACAAAGCCCGTTTCAGAGGAGCTGCTCTGGAAGCGCCTTGGGGTGCTGTCTCCAGTCCTGCAGCCTCAGCAGCCAGGGTGCAGAACCTCCGGGTGGTCATGGCAGGGTCCTGGGGCTCAGGGGACACAAACCCCATCACTCCCGGGGGCACTGGGGGCTCTGGGATGGAGGCAAGCTCTGGACCCACCACTGCCCCCTTTGCCAGGTGTGTTTTGGGGGACAGAGGTCCCACAGCAGTGCCCCAAGGTGTGTGAGCAGCACCTGAGCTTCGCTGGGCTGGGGCTGGCACTCAGGTGTCCCCAGCAGGGTTTGTACAGGGGGGTTCACTCTGGGGACCCCCCAGCACCCCCAGGGCTGGCTCCAGGTGCTGCTCAGACACCCGGCTGCCCTCGCAGCCCATTGTAAAGCAAATTAATTCTCCCCGCGCCCAGGAATAGCCGTGCTCTCGAGGCTTGGCAGCGGCAGGGAGGAGAGCAGCTGCTCCGGGACTCACTGCCCCTTTTTTAAAATTTCATTTGTCTGATTTCAGCAGCGTGTGAGGGGCAAGTGAGCCACGGGGACATCTCACTGGCCAGAATGCTGGGGCTGCTGTGGGTGAGCTCACAGCTTCTCCTCCTGGGCATCCTCCTCTCACCTCAGACAGGTGTTTATGCTGCTCCTCTCACCTCAGACAGGTTTTTACTCTCCTGCTCCCTTTGAAGCACTCCCAGAGGTTTCACTGCCAAAGGACACTGTTTGATGGAAGAATCCATCTCTTGTACCTTACAGGGTAAACACGGTGTTTTTTGACAATAAATGCAATTTTCTTGAATGGAAACAACCAGTCCAAATGTCTTCTGCTGGGTTTGGCAGCCTGTTTGGAGGCTCTGCCCTGGGGAGAGGGGTGTCATGAGAGTAAACTCAGTGTTAAAGTGATGGTTTGTGCTGCAGAGACTCAGAGCTCGATGCAGCTGCAGGTTGGTGCTAAGGATGTTCCCCCACTGCTCTCTGAATTTTGTGGGGCTGCACTGGCAGCCTTGGGTGTCCTGCCTGGGGCTGGGGGACAGCCACAGCCTGGGGGAGTTAATGACTCACTGTGAAATTTCCTCTGCTTTCAGGCATTACAACACAGATTTTCCTCTTGTGAAGGTCCCAGCTCTGCAGACTACCTTCACTGCAGGGAAATTAGTAGGATGTCTTGGGGCAAAAGGTAAAACTAAAGTACATCAGTAAATATTAGCAGGATCAGGACCTTATTCAGGCATAAATCAGGTAGCTCCAGCCAACAATAGAATTACCTAAGTATAAAATCCCATGTAAGCCAGTAAGATCAGCTCCAAACCTGCTATGAATTTGCTTTTTGTTTCCTTGCCAAGAAAATATCACTTCTAACTGCTGCAATCAGGGCTGGTCCTTTCAGGTTTTTCTAAGTGCTTTTGAGCACGTTTATTTCCCATCCCCAGCAGATCCACACGGAGCCTGGCCCTCCTTCCCTGGGGCATGTCCCAGCCTGCTTCACCCACAATAAATTGTCGCTATCAGGGAATATTTTTTTTTCTTTCCTGGCTGTTTTTGTTACTGCATTCGGTAAACAAAGGGACAGCAGTGACGATCCAAACCCATTCTTTTTTATTTGCCTGGGAACAGAGTCAACTATTTGTTGGTCTTTTGTTGCAGTTTTTGTTCTCTTTTTAGCCAGTGACCGTTGAAGCAGCTCCTGGTACCTGTGGGGAGCACGTCCTGGAGCTGCAGGGTTTGTCACCTGCTGGCACCAGGGAGGGGACAGCGAGGAGGACAAGGAGCTGCTGGGAGAGGTACCAGGTCAAACCAAGGCTCCAGGGCACAATGTCCCTCCTGTCCCTCCCAAACAATATGAGAGCAGCCTGCAGCAGTGTCCTGGTGGTTGTACATGCCTCAGTTTCCCCCGCAGTTTCCCCCATTCTCAGTGCACTGGGGTGAGGTGGTGCCCCAAGATGAGAAGTCTGGTGGTGTTTGCACCTGACTGAGCCAGGGTGGGACCAGCTCTTGGGGATGAGCTTCTCCAAACACCCGGGAGAAGGAAGGCAGGGAGGGATGGGAGCGAGGGAAGGAAGCTGGAGGCTCTTTTAGCCTGAGGGCAAACTTCTCCTGGCCTCTCCATCTCTGGGGTCTGTGCAGCAGCTCAGGCAGCTCCAGGCTGGTCTCTTCTTAGCAGACACCAAGAGAAGCATCCTGGCCCCCACTGCCACCCCACCTGTCCCTCCAACCCACACCAGGGCTCTCCAAAAACCCAGGCAGGGCTTCCCCTTCCCTGTTCCTCTGGGACACAGCAGTCCCTGGGCAGCACAGCCAGGAACAGGAATGCATTTCCCATGCTCTGGTGTGGCTGGGGACACCCTGATGCCATCAGAGCCATTTGTCACCCCAGGCCACTCTGGAGCAGGGTGGGGGGAGCTGCTCTGCTGCCCCTGCCAGGCATGACTCCTGCAAACCAAATCCTGCAGAGAGCATCCCCGGGAGCCATATGGTGTCCCTGAGGCTTTGATGGGGTGGGACAAAACCCAGAGCAGCCCAGCAGGTTGGACTGTGAGCCACGGTGAGCCCAGGGGACCTGTCCTGCCCTGCTCAGAGTGCCAGCCCCGGTGTTCAGGAGGGTGTTGGTGTCTCCTGCCAGTGCTGCTGAGACTGGGGGGTTTGCCTGGAAAGGAGGATGGGTTTGTGGTCAAGGGAGCAGCATCTCAGAGCAGCATCCCAAACACCAGCCAGGCAGCAGGGGGCCAGGGGAGCTTGGGGACGTGTGGTGTGTGCTCTGAGCCTGTGCCAGGACAGCCACCACTCAAAGCTGTCCTCAGGACTGAGGGCAGCACAGCCAAGGCACCAGGGAGTGCAGGACAGGCCTGCCCTGAGCTCTGCCCCTTCTGGGGGGATGCACAGTGCTGCAGCACACAGGAGGAGAGAAGCATCCTGGCTCCAGCCCGACAGAGCCCACCCAAACAAGTCCCAGACCCACAGAGGCAAGAAAAATGACTCAGGAGAATTCCTCTGGGATTTTACCTTTCACCTCTCTTTGTGATGCTCTGAGTTTGCTGTGGAAAGACACGGCCCAGGTTGGTTGAATCTCAAAACTTACAGCAAGCATTCGCTGCCTGGTGTCCAGGAGCTGTGAGCAGCATTTCCCATGCTGGGAAACAAGCTGGAGGAGGGATGTGTGCCCTCCACCTGGAGCTGTGGGGGCTGCAGTGGCTCACTGCTATCAGGGGGCTGCCCAGAAAGGACCTGTGGATGTTTATGTTGCAAAGACTTCTGGAGGTTTGCTTTATAATTACAGCTATGTTAAAATAAAATAAAATAAAAAAAAAAAAAATAAAATAAAATAAAAATAAAATAAAATAAATGGCAGATTTCAGAGTTCACTCTAAATGAAAAAGGGAGGAATGATTGTAAATAAAATAAAATAAAATAAAATAAAATAAAATAAAATAATAAATAGCAGATTTCAGAGTTTACTCTAAATGAAAAAGGGAGGAATGATTGCTTCTGACTGGCCATGGATTCATTTTTTAATTGTGTACCCACAATGTGTTGTCATGCAAGAAAAATCTAACCCTTACAAAAACTCATTTCAAAATGAGTAACTGCAACATTTTTTCAGTCATTGTCTGAGAAGGCTGTTGCAGGACTGCTGGGGCTTCCCTTCTCCCCAGAATGAGATTCTGGTATAATTAATGGGGCATTTGGACTCTGATAGCATTTGCTTCCATCCAGTTTGTCATGAAAAGCCTCCTGATGCCTCTCAGATCTTCAGGAAGGTATGCAAGCTTTACTCCCCCACTTTCTGCCTCCCAGAAGAAGAATGGGAACTGGAAAATTCCCCAGTTTCTTGGCAGGGAGGCTGAGGTGGTGTGGTTCTGCACAAAGCAGGTCTGGCCATGGACTCTGGCAGCAGTTTTATCTTCTTGCTGGGCTGGAAATGGTGACCTCAGCCCTTGCAGCAGGTGTTCTCTGGAACATTCTGCAAGGAAATCGGTTTAAATAGCAACAGCATAATTTATCCATCTGAACTAGCAAAGTGTTAATCTGTCTCAGGGGTGAAACAAAAATTCTGTGAAACTTTCAGGGCTTTTCTTGGTTTTTCTGCACCCAAACAGGCTCTCAGAGCTGTGCCTTGTGCTTGTCCATCACTGCCTGGAGAATGCCCAGCACACAGAGGCCATTTCTGCTGATAACAGGAAAGTCAGTGTTTGGTCCTGCTGTCAACAGGTTTTAGCTTGGAGAGAAACCTCCACTAATCAGCTGCTTTGTGGCATTTTTACAGCAAGATAAAAGATGCCTGGAATTATTTGTTGGTCACCAAGCAAATGTTTTTACTGGTGAAATGTTCCAGAGGCTGTTTAGAGCCTTGATTGACAAACGTGCCACAGCTTTACAGCCCTCCCCATGCCCTCCCCTCCCCAGATTCAGGGCTGAGATGGGAGATGGAGCTGATGGAGCTGTAGATGAAGAAGGAGATGGAGCCACCTCGTGCTATTGCTGCAGGGGTAACCCAAGGCTGAAGTGTGGGGAGAAGCTCATTTGTTATGCAAATATCTGCTTGAGCCTGGCGTAGACAGTGGAAAGCTCAAATTATTTTAAGCAAAAGACCAAAGTTCTCTCCATCCCCCTATCATCTTGGATCCTTGAAAAAACAAAACAAAACAGAAACCTCTGTGTGAACCATCTGACAATGATCAGCACTTGGCTTTTCTGGCAAGAGCTGGGTGTGCACAGGCGCATGGAAATAGAACAATTAAGGGGGAAAAACGGTATTGGAAGCAGCCAGGCTTTGTGCTGTCTTGATGACAGCACCAAGTGATCATCCTCCAGCCTTATCTCTGGGGCCTGCCAGGGACAGCAGAGCTGCAGGGCTGGGGGGCTCTCCCTGGGTGGCAGAGGAGCTTCCTTGCTGCCTGTTTGCTGAGGCTCAACCTGGGCTCTCTGGGCAAGGAGAGGAGCAAGGGTGGCTGTTTTGGATGCAGGAAGCCCTTTCAGGCCCACGGTTTGAGGCGGGAGGCTGGCCCATGCAGGGGAGGCACCCGTGCATGGCAGTGACCTTCCTGCGCCGGTGGCCGGCCAGCCGCCCGCAGCTTTGCATGAGCAGATGTGCATTTCATGCTGCTAAGAAAATCCTGGCAGTATTTACATAGCAAGGGGCAGCAAAGGGACAAAGCTGAGCCTTTCCCACGTGGGCAGTGATGCCATGCTGCCATTTCCATGGGGAGAGCCAAACCTGTGCCATGTGCTCCTGCAGCATGGGCTGTGGAAGGCAGTGGTGCTGCCTGCACCCTGCCCACAGGCAGCTGTGGTAAAACCCTGTTTTCGAGGCAGGTTGCATCTCTCCAGAGTGGTTTTCCCCTGAGCTGAGCTCTCCCCTGGCCTCAGCATCCTTATGCCCCTGAGAAGGCCTGGGGGGCTGCTGCAGTCTGGTGTACAGAGGGCTGGGTGAAGCTGGGGATGAATCAGCTTTTTAAAAGGGGATTCAGACCAGCCCTTGATCTGCACCAGAAAGATTCCCACTGGTTCTGCAGCCCTCTGGTCAAACAGGGGGGACAGCCTTTCTGCCTCGCTGGGTGCTGGCACAGTTTGGGCCCTGCTGGGGGAATGTCCCTTTTTCCATGCAGCATGTGTCACACAGGGTCACTTCCAGGGATTCCTGCTGGGGCTTCCTCACAGCCCTGTCCCAAACACATCAGGCTTTGAGCTGTGCTGCCTCGCTGCTCCCCAAAGCACATGGGTCCCTGGGGCTTTGCTGGTGTCTCTGAGGGAGGGCAGCTGGGGAAAACCCTTAACAGGACTAAATAACCCCCCAAAAGCTCCATCCAGCCTGCAGAGTCGAGGTCAAGTCGTTGTGGGCTCTGCTGGCTCCTCAGCACCCCAGGATCCTGTTGGCACAGGTGACATCCCTGTGAGCCCAGGATTCTCCTGGTGTGCCACAAGAGCCTGTGCTGTGACTGGCTGAGACTGAGGGTGGCACTGAGCTGGGGAGGCTCGTGAGCCCCTCCCAGGCACAGGGCACAGGAAATGGAATGATTTTCTTTGGCATGGCCAGGAGATGCTGGCATGACTTTCCCAGTAACCCCAACACGTCTCTGCAGGGCCACCTGCCCCCAGCCAGCTGTGAGGCAGGTGCAGTGGAGGGAGCTGTGGCTTGTGGTACAGAAACACCTGGACTATTTCCCCTCTGTATAAAATGCTTTGTTTCCTTAGAGCCGTGTCTGCACTGCAAAGTCTCCACTGTCATTCTTCAACACTCAAAAGCAGTTCCTCTCATGGGCATTTTTGAAATTGTTTGAAAAATCTGTGTGGGCATTACAGTGTTTGTTTTCTCTGATGACTATTTTTAATCTTGTTTGTCATTAAAAAAAATAAATCAAGATAGATATGAATTGAAGCTGTGCCTTTAAATATGACGTGATATTGGCTGCCCAAAACTAAACACAAGAGGGCTGGAGCATGTGCCTAAAAGCTGAGAAAGGCTAAAGCTTTGAATGCCACTCGCTTGGCAGCACTGTGAGAGCAGAGCCCAGGAACCACGGCCAGGGCACGGTGCTGGCCAGCTGGCACCAGAGGGGTTAAAGAAGCATGTTCACCCTGCAAGGAAAGAGCTGGAAGTGGCTTTTCCAGGAGGAGACGCTGGCACCCCTCTCTTCCCCTTGGCACCCAGCCTGAGAGCCACCAGAGCACCCCTGAGGGACACAGGGCAGCACCAGGGGTGACAAAGGCAGCGAGGGGATGCTTGCCTTCCATGCCCCGCTGGTTTCCAGCTCTGGAGAGGAGCTGTGCAGGGAGCTACTCCCTCCCCCAGCTCCCTGGCCCGTCCTGGGGCTCCCTGCTTTTGTTCCCGTGCTGGGGATTTGGCCAAGTGGTGTTTGGCCAGAGCCAAAGGCTGCGAGAGGCCGAGAGGGCACGGTGCTCCTGCAGCGAGCCAAGGATGGGACGGGGGCCCTGCAGCGGGGCTGTGAGAGCGGGGCACCCCAAAAGGGCAGAGCCTGCCCTGCAGGGCTGGCACTGCCATGTCACAGTGCCATGTCACAGTGCCATGTCACACTCAATGCCATGTCACACTCAGTGCCATGTCACGCTCAGTGCCATGTTGTGCTCAGTGCCATGTCACACTCACTGCCATGTCATGCTCAGTGCCATGTCACGCTCAGTGCCATGTCACAGTGCCATGTCATGCTTGGTGCCATGTCGTGCTCAGTGCCATGCTGCCTGCAGACCACGGTGCTCCAGGACAGGAGCAGCTCTGCATGTCCTGTTTGCATTTCAGGATCCCAGCCTTCCTGCACTGCTGAAGCCAGGCAGGGAGGACAGCAGCACGTGGGAAATGCAGTGGCACAGACCCTGATGGATGTCATGGTGAGCTATTTTAAGACTTTATCTTGCTAGCCTCTGACAAAAATGTGCTATGGAGCAGAGCTTATCATGTGCAATTTGGCACATGGGGCCGGTGAGGGGACAGTGAGCTGGTCCCCAGAGCTGGGGCAGGTGACACAGAGCCAGCAGAGCAGCAGTGCTGGGTGCTGCTGGTGCAGATGTGAGTGTCTGCCACAGGAGATGGGCATGGACAGGGTCCAACCCAGCCTGCAGAAACCAGGTATCTGACCCTAAATCGCAGCCCAGGCCTGAATCAGAGGAGTACCAGCTTTGCTGTGCTCCTGGCTTCTTGGTGTCACCCAGAGCATGAGGACGGAACATCAAGTTGGGACCTTCCCTACCTGCAGTTTCTAAACATTGGATCTTGCTAACTAACCAGGGCTGATTGCTCAGGTGAATGATGCTGCCTCCTGTAATCCCCTTTCCCCACGGCTGTGCCCCAGGAGCTCAAGGCACAAAGAGCAGAGGAGGTGAATGGGCCAGGGTGTGAGCCCTGGGGCTGCCACCACCACCAGCTCCTGCTGGCTCCCCTGGGAGGGTGAGGGGTGCTGGGCTGGGCTGGGCACTGCAGACAAGCCCTGCGAGGTGAGGAGGTGCAGCTCTGCAAACACAAACCAACAGCAGCACCCTGCACTGCTGGGACCCAGGGCTCTGGGAGTTATCACCCTCAGCCTTTCGGCTGCTGGGGCTGGAGATTAGGGAGCTGCTCCTTATCAGCCCCCGGTCCTGCCCCCGTGGGGCTCCCCTTTCGGTCTTACTCACTGCAGAAATGAGTAAGCCTGTTGTAACCACCGTGCTGGGAGCTCTGGGGCTGTGCTCCATGGGTTGGGGAGGGGTTTTTAGAACATCTCTGCACAGTGACCTGCAGCAGCCAGGACACCCACCAGAGTTGGGCTGTGCTGCAGTCAGGGCCCTGCACATCCAGAGCTCACTGAGTCTGATGAGGATGGGAAGGGTTAATTCTGCGTGTGTGCAAAGGAGGGAGGGGAAATCCAAGGTGCTCACAATCTCCAGTGTCTCACTTGCACACAGACCCCCACACCTGCCCCAAAACCATTGCCTGTGCACAAAGCTCTTGGCCCAGCCTCTGAATTTGTTCCAACTCCTGTGTGTGTGTGTATCGGGGTTTTTAGAACATCTCTGCACAGTGACCTGCAGCAGCCAGGACACCCACCAGAGTTGGGCTGTGCTGCAGTCAGGGCCCTGCACATCCAGAGCTCACTGAGTCTGATGAGGATGGGAAGGGTTAATTCTGCGTGTGTGCAAAGGAGGGAGGGGAAATCCAAGGTGCTCACAATCTCCAGTGTCTCACTTGCACACAAACCCCCACACCTGCCCCCAAAACCACTGCCTGTGCACAAAGCTCTTGGCCCAGCCTCTGAATTTGTTCCAACTCCTGTGTGTGTGTGTATCCATCCATCCATCCATCCATCCATCCATCCATCCATCCATCCATCCATCCATCCAAGCAGGACTCAGCCCCTGCCTCCTCCAGGATCTCTACACAACAACCATTTCCAGCAGTTTATTCGACAGCTACAAGAAAATATTCCTGCGCTCTCCAGCTCCACGAGGCACATGATCCAGACAGTGCCAATGGAATAAACATTTGGATTTAATTTATTATCTTTCCTGCAGGCTCTGCAGGCTGGCGGCTGCAGAGGGGCTGGGGCTGCTCCCTGCCTGCGGGACAGGGCCCGGGGCAGCCTGGCAGCCTTTACCCAACTCCATGGGATATTTTTATTTTTTTTCCATTCAAGCCTGTGCAGAATTCCTGGCAGGACTGGAGCTTTCGTCCAGATTGCAGATGCCCAAAATATCTGTGTTCTGGGCTGAGCAAACTGAGGCTGAAGTGCCCATGGTTGGCTGATTGAGGAGGACATAGGGGAAGGAAGAAAGACAGACAGACAGACAGACAGAGGAAAAGTGCCTGAGCATGTATGGCAGCAGTGGGCAAAAGGATAGGGGATGCCCCTGGGGTTTGCCCCATCTCACACCAACATGGGATATTTTTACTGTTTTTCCCACTCTGCTGAAGCCTGAGCTCAGTCCAGGACTGGTTGTGCCCCAGATTAGCTTGTGCTACCAGCCATGAAATTTGGTTGCACTGCTGTTATGCTTCTCATTTTAAATTATCTTCTAAACTGTGCACACCTGGCATCTTCAGGAGCCAGGATTTGTGAAATAAAAGTTTAAATGCCAGTTGAAATAAGGCATTTATGTGTATTCTTTCACATACACACATGAATGCACACAGCTACTGATAAAAACCATGTGTTTGTTCATACATACGTGTTTCTAATCAGATTTATAATGTATATAATATAAATGTTTTTCTACATATAAAATTCATTGGAAACAGGAAACCAAATTAGTTTACCTTACCGAAGTGGCATGAAATAAAGAGCAATGTGTGCTGTTGAGAAGGTCGGATGTGGTTTTTGGGAGGACTTTTCTTCCCCCCAGGGCTCGTTCTACCATGTTTATGTCTAAAACCTGCTAATTTTAAAGCCAGCTCACAGGAGACTAATGGCATGACTCATTTATTTCATTTCACTTTCATTTTGCAGAGCTCAGGGTTTGTTTAAGATGCTCACTTGTCAGCAGCTCATGCAAACACACCAGAGGATGCTACAGGAGACCACAAATGGCCGTGAGTATCTGCACACACTGACCCCCCCATGTTTATCCATGAACAGGAGCCACTCCAGTGAGCTGAGTCTGATTTTAAAAGATCTTTTGAGTGTTAAACATGTAATAAGATGCTCAGTGCTATTTTCAAACCAAGACGTGTTCCTGGCTGATTTATAAAAGGCCACAGTCTCCACTTTTATGTGGGCAAATGCTTTTAAAAATTGGCTCCTGGGATTTTGGGTGCTCATTGATTCATCCTCTCACAAACCTCCATCTCTGACCTTTCCATTACCAACTTTTCCATCTCCAACTGCTTCATCACCCTCCTGAGCATGGGCACACAGCTAATAAATCTGAGTCTTTAATTGCCCTCCCACACTGTGTGGCTTTATTTGAGCCATCATTCCTGTCGCTGTGCCTTGTTGCATCCCTCTGCTTCCAGGTTTGTGCTGCTGGAGTCAGCAAGAGGATAAAACTGTTATTTAGGTTTAGTATTTAGTAACACACTCCATGGCTGCATGGCCCCACACGTGTCTGACAAGGCTGAGTTGGCTCTGCCTGGGGGAGGTACAGCCCCTCTGCTTTTATCTCATGCAAGGTCCCATTTTTGATTTTTTACGCAGCTTAAACTATGTGAAAAATTTGTGTAGGGGAAAAAACCTCCATAAACCCACTATAAATTCCCTTGCTAAATACATCAGTAAGGGCAGAGAGTCCTGCTGGCCCGGTGTGCCAGGACCACGAGGGTGGAACAGCCTCAAGAACACCCATTGCCTCTGGTCCCCAAGGGAGATTTATTTATTCCCCCCCAGTTTATCTCCCTGTCAGGAAGTTTCCCACAGCCCTCCAGGAGTGGGTGCAGCAGTATCAGCAGGCACAGGTCTATCAGGCTGAGCAGAAGCTTTTCCAGGAACTATCTAGTGCCACACGTGACCGTGCCCGGCCGATACGTGACAGGCATTCACCGGCCAGTCAGTTGACTTTGTTATTCAAACTATTTTAGTGATGGTTTTTAATCCCAGGCTTAAGTTTTTCTTTTTCTAGTTGTTTTTTTTTTTCCCCTCTTTTTTTTTGCTCTCTGAACAAGGGAATCTCTATGCTGGCAGGATTCAGAGAGGCACAAAGGAGGGAAAAACAAGTTTCAGCCAGAAGAGAGAGAGGGGAAAAAAAAAAAAGGATGCTGTTAGCATTCCCTGTATTTGAGGGGCTAAAAACATTTTGCTGTCAACTCTGTTTTAAAGGATAAGTGCTAACAGCAGTCCAGTTACTATGCAAAAAAATCGTGTGCTCAGCCTTTCCCTCTCAGTGCAAAGTTTTGGGGCTTGTTAGGCAGGGGAGCAGGGCTGTGGGGGCTGGCAGTGTCCCCCCATGCCCCCATCCCATCCTGGGCATAGCCACTGGCTGGGGGTGCCACTGCAAAGCTCTGGACCTTGACAGGAGCCCGTGGGGGTGCCCAAGGGTCCCCCAGACAAGGTGGGACAGTGGGGGAGCACTGCAGAGGAGTGGGCTGGGTACCCCCTGCTCCTCGTCAAAAGCAGATTCAGGCAGCTGGCAGCAGAGCCCTTGGCTGTGCCTCTGTGACAGGGGACACCCCAGGGAGAGGGAGTGCCTGGAAAGGGCAGAAATCCCTCCCAAGACATCCCCTTTCATGGCAGGCAAGTGGGGAAGGTCTGGCAGCAGCCACCCTGGGGTACAGGGCTGTCTCTCACTCGCTGCTGCCAGGTGGAAAGGGAGGTGATGCCAGGACATGATGCCAGGAGATGATGCCAGACTGTGCCTGGGTTCATCCAGATGATGGCCAGCACCCCAGCACTGGTATTTATGGTGGCACTTCCCCATGGCAGCAGAGGGGCTGCACATGCCCCAGCCCACACAAGCCAAACCTCCCCCTGACAGCCCCGGTGTGATGGTTTCCTATAAAAAAGATTTGAATTTGTCATGCAAATGACTGGGCATGTGGGCACAGCTGCTGAGAGGTGGCCTGGGCTGGGTCAGCTGCCAGCATGGCCACAGGGATGTGCCCAGGACAAGGTCTGGCCCCCCAAAGCTGGTCCCACCCCTGGAACCTGCCAAGCAGATGGTGCTGCCAGGGCTGTGCTGCCAAAACCACCCAGCCCTGGCTGCTCCTCCTGGTCCCTGTGGCTCACTGAAGCTTTTAAACCAGCATTGTGACCCCCCTCCCTTGGCTTCTGGCTGGCTGCAGCAGAGCTGAGCTGCCCAGAATGAGCTTTCTTTGTGCTGGGACCACATAAGGAGGTGGAAGAGGATGCTCCGTCAAGTAATGCACTAAAAAAGAAATTAAATTATACTTTTAAGCAATTTTAAAATTATTTAAGCACTTGTGCCACCCTGATCAGCCAGGAGCCAGGCAACCTCTGCCTCTCACCCACACCCCACAGCTCATACTCTGCAGTTCAGCTCTTGTCCTTCTAACACAGCAACCCTTGGAGCTCTTCCCACTTTCCCAGCCTCGCACAGGACAGGGAAGTGCCTGGGCTCCTTTCCGGAGGCTGCCAGCACCACCTGGCAGCACAGCCCCGCTCCCACCGGGAAGGAGGATGGCAGAGCCCGTGATTCCGCAATTTCACAGCCGGGTTTTTGCAAGCAGGAAGGAGGCAGGTCGGGCTGCTGTTTTGATGTGGCTGTTTCTCGAAACGAGCCCGGGGCAAACCTGAGCGGGATCCAGGAATGGTGCTGGGAGCGCCGCCTGCGCCCTCGCTTCCTGGCAGCTTGGAACCTTCCAGGAAATCAGACAGCTAAATGGAAAAGCATCACCCTTTTCACTTCAGAGCGCTCTGCACACATGGGTTTTTTCAACAAATCCACGTTCAGCAGCCGTGCTGTCCCCACTGAGCAGGAAGATGTGTGTCCCTGGTGGAGACAAAGCCCAGCTCAGCAGTGCCAGGCACCACTGCTGGGGACGGGCACCTCAGGGCTGCTGCAAAGGGGCCAAGAGCTCCCCAGCAGCTCCCAGCACCCCCGTCCAAAAATCCTCCCCTCCCTTCTCCTCAGGAGGACTCCTGACAGGGAGAAAGAAGAATTGCTGAATAATCTCCAGCCCCGATAGCACTTCAAAGGCAGGGCCTGGGCCAGGCCGGGCTCCGCCAGCGCCGGGCTGGATGCGGCGCTCGGCTCTTACTGCTTTGGCAGCCCCACAGCAGTTCCAGAAAGTAATTACTTAAAAAGGAAATAAATGTCACCCACATGGTTGTAAGCAAAACCCCGGGCAGGATGAGCAGAGCCCCACCAGGATCTGCATTCTCACGCAACACCAGCAAGGCAGGAGTGAGTTGTTTCCATTCATTGAGATGGGCTCTTTACTCCCAGGGGATCTTTATTCTGAGGGCTACTGCTGACATTAGATGTGCCCACCGTGGGCATTTAAGCTCCTCAGGGCAGCCACAGTGCTGAACTGCCTCTGCTCTCATCCTACAGCATCCTCTTCCCCCAGGATGGCTTTAGGCATCACCACCTGAACCAGCAGAAGATGCTGGTGCCAAAAACACTGCCCCTCCTGGCACCAGGCCTGCTGTGACCTTTGTGGAGATGAACCAGATAACTGGCACGAGCAAACAGTAATTTTATTTACTTTTACAGATGGATTCTTGAAGTTTGTAACTGTCAAAACCTGAACACCAAACTTCTAAAGCAAGTTGGTTGGGGGAAGTCAAATGCAGCACCAGAGCAGCGAATGAGGCTTGAGGGTGAAAGTCTCTCTGCTGCTGGCACCTGCCTGGTTCTGCTGGACCTGAGACACCCTCAGCAAATCCCCTTAACCAGGACAGGGCTCTGGCAGACTACTCTCTTTCTGAGAAATTCAATTTTAGAAAAATAACCCCCAACTTATTTTAAGTGATGGCCTGAAAACTCTGGGATGAGATCCCATCTGCCCCTACTGCCTCTGGAGCCGCACCGGCATGGCAGCACCTCCCAGCCCTGCTGCACGCAGTGTGAGGGAGCAGCTGGCACCAGCCCACGGGGTTCTGTGAGCTCAGAAACCCTGAGGTGCCTCGGGACACGCAGAGCAAGGGCAGAGGGGGACACGCTGCAGGGTGGTGGCAGCAGCTGATGGCACACAGCCCACCCTGGCACACTGGAGGGTACAGCCCAGTCCAGGTGGGCTGGGAAATACTCCCCAAGGCACTGCAGCCAAGCAAACATGGTACCATACAGCACTGGATAATCTTAAAAGTTAAAATAGTTTATTGCTGTCTTTGTAGAAATGCACTTACATCGCCTGTTCTCTTCCTTTATTTGGCTGTTGGATTACAGGCATAAAAAGGTTACATTTATCCATTTGTTCAGTGACATAACACCTTTTTCTCTATTGCTCCACTCACGATATTCTCCTAAACCTTGCTGGCCAACAGCCCCAAATCTCTTTTACATAAATACTGTAAATGTCTCATAGGTTGCAGCATTGTAACAAAAGATCTACCAAAGTAGACAAAATGTTCAGTATTCTTGGTTGGTTTTTTGCATTTAAAAATATACCTAAATTTGAGATAATCTTAACAGAGTAACAATTACAATAAGAAAATAGTACAGTGCGTTGACTAAAGGAATATTCTGCTCTCCTTCAAGCCAATATTCCCTTTTGCATGTTGAAGTGATTCAGCAATTACTTAAGAACTTTTTACCTACATACAATAATTTAGTAAAATGAGAATTAAACAAGGCAGATACTTACTACTATTCTTCTGTCTGCAATTCACAGCTCATGCGAATAAAATCGCAATAAATATTAAAAAATAGTTTTTCTTTTGCTTTTTTTTTTTCTGTAAGGCATCTCTGAGTATTACAAAGTTTTTGTACAACCAAAAAATAAGATTGCTTTTTTTTTCCATGTTCTCCAAGTACCTCTGTACCTCACCAGTAAATAAGAGGATTGTAGGCTGGATGAGGAAGGAAGGGCTGACGGGGAAGGGGGCAGAAAGAAGACCACAGGTGATGGAAGCAGACTGCCATGTGTGCAAGAATCTGTCGTTTTCCTGTGAAACATTTCAGCCGCTTTTAGAACATCTTCAAGACAGTATCAGTCCAGATTGAAGGAAAAAAAAAAGGGGAAAAAAAAAAAAACTTACCAGAAGTCCACTTTCATAAGCACAATCAGACTGCAAGGATTTGGGTTCGCCCTCAACACTATAAATAGCTTAGGTATCGATATGCACCTACATACGGGGGGATAAAGGGCCTGGGGTGATTTATTTTTTTTCTTGCGTCGCTTTTGCCTCTTTTATAGTTTTTTTTTGTTGTTGTTTTGCTGTCCTGGTCGTATCCTTGCACGGCGAGAGATTGTCCAGGGAGGCCGGCGGGCCGTGGTCGGGCCCTCAGGGCATGCAGGCGAGCCTTCATGGCGTGTGGGCAGGCCCTCACTGCATGCGGGCACACAGTTGAGCCCTCACTGCATGCGGGCACACAGTTGAGCCCTCACGGCATGCGGGCACGTGTGGGCAGGCCCTCACGAGCCCTCACGGCATGCAGCCGAGCCCTCACTGCATGCGGTCGGGCTGCAGCTGCTGCGGCTGGTACTGCACGAAGGCGGCGGCGGGCGCCGCGGGGGTGCCGGCGCTGAGGGGCGGCTGCACCGTGCCCGTGTAGCCGTATCCCACGAAGCCGGCGGCGGGGGAGGCAGCGTAGGGGTACTGGTCGTAGGCAGCTGTGGTGTACTGGGAATAGGCTTGGCTGGCGGCCGTGTAGTCGATGTAGGGAGACGTGATGGACTGCACGGGGGTGGGGATCACCACGCTGGGCTGGATGATGGCTTGGGGGTAAACATAGTGAGGCGTGAGTCTGTGGAGGGGAAGGGAGAGAGTTAGTGAGGGGCTGGGATCGCCCTGGCCTCTCTTCCCCCCAAATTCAGCTGTGTCAGCCATGGAAACGGTGCTGCCCAGCGGTGCTGCCCGGGGTGGGGAGGAAAAGCAAACACTCCTAGACCTGAGGGTGGAGTACTACAAGGTGAAGCACGGGCTGCTGCTAATACCCACACCCTGGTCCCCACGGCTTGTATCCCCCACTATCCAGACTGCTGAAATCCAAAATAAGCTCCCTGGAAGGCCATGACACAGCCTCTGGCTCACCCTCATTTCCTCAGCCTCCACACACCCTGCCAGCCTTTCTGCCTCCTGTATTCTCCATCCAAATTTGGGTGGAGGGTCCTGAGGAGCCACAGCCCCTGCGGGACACCTCCTGCAGCAGGGACAACCTGTCACCCTCCACGTGTCCCACCAGGAATGACCACTGACCCCAGGCCCTCCAGCCGGCCAGGTGTTATCAGTTACTACACACTTACACCATGTTTCCACAACACTGCATGTTTAGGGAATGCTACAGGGTGTTTGTTGTAAAACACGAGATATTAATGCTGCTTTCCCCCCAGTAGCTGGAAGGGCGGTGACACTCGTGTGTCCATGAGCCGTCACATCTGCCCCTGGCATCTCTGCTGCCCTTTCCATGAGGGCCCAAAAGTGCAGCTTGCCCCTGCCCTGAGGAGCTGTGCTGCTGAGAGGAACTTAACAATGTCACAGTCAATTAAAGGCCATAGATGGAGAGATCCTGGAGGTGATTAATGCAGGAGTGCCTACTAATTTGTTAGAAACTGCTAATGAGGAGGAAAGGGGAGGGGGAAAAAAAAAGCATCAAAATGAAAGGGTTGTATTTTCCAAAGGGCTCGTGTCAAGTCAGGTCTCAAACAAGGCAAAAACTGTGCAAACCTGAAGGTTTAGGTACCTCCACAGAAACTGCCACGGGCCAGGCAAAAAATGGGGAATTTATGTGGCCTGAAGAGTGAGGCAGGGTGACACATCTGGGTTTTTTTAAAGAAACAGGGGGTGCAGACTATCACCAGCAAACGGCCCAGTACCAGAGGAAGATCAGAGCCACCTGCACCCTAGGGAGAAGGTCCCTTTGGCCACTGCTTGCTGAAACACATAAGGCCACAGATAAGGCAAAGCCATCTCCTAAAAGCTTGTGCCACCCTGTCCCCAAACCCATTTTGGCCAACAAAAAAATCCCCAAGGCAAAACTCTGCAGAGAGATTATGCAGATTCAAATATTTTGGGGATTTTTGTGTGGATGTGTGTGACAGCAGATTTTCAAACACAACCACTTTTAAAAGCCTCCCACAGGCTCTTCACAAGGCTGTACATGGTTACCCTCATTCCATCTGAGCATCCTAAGTCTCAGCCACCCCCTGCAGCCTGCTGGGGTCCACCTGGGGCTGGTCCCTCCTACCCAGCACCTACAGGGATGTTCCCACTTTACAACCAGCACTGGACGGTTTAATCTGCTCTTCAGACAGAAGAAAGGCTTCTCACAAACAAGGGCTCATCTGAACCGAGTTTTCTCTCCTTTTCCCACTCCCATATGCAGTTTGTTTTTGCTTTGTCAATTTGCATGACAAGAGAATGACTGCTCTCCCCTCCCCACACAGCAACACTGCCTCTGAAATCAGGGTCCTTCCATATGCCCAGGGAGGATGGATGGTGGTGAGCAGCACCTCAACTTTTAATTCAGTGCAAGACCTTCTTTGAGAGACCCCTGGACAGCAAGAGGGACCTCACAGTCCTTCAGCCCATAAGCACACCATACCCAGCATCACCCTGTGGGTAACAGGAATGAGATGAGGCAGCAGAAATGCACAGAATCCCTTTTTGTTCAGCTCTGATCTAAACTGCGGCCAGCACAGCTGAATCAGAGCTGGAGCTTAGGCACCAAGGGCACTTCATGTCACACACTCACACCAGGCAGTGGCAGCCACCTCTTGGAAGAGCAGGGCTCAGTCCTACCCAGAGGGGGATTTTCTCTTTAATTTTGTTTTAAATAACTCCGAGGTGCAATGCTGCTCTCTGGGTCTGGGGAAAGGCTCTGCAGAGGCACCCCCAGGCCCTTGGGCATGACATGAGCAGGCTCAGTCCGTGCTCATTGCTCTGGCCCTGGTAGATCAGCCAACATCCTGCATCCCCAGACTGGGATGGATGCTCTGGCTGCTCCTCACTTCTCCCTGCCTGTCTCACCCTGCCACCAGGCTCCCTGGTACTCCAGGGCCCAACAGAGTTAAAATCACTCCACAAATGCAACAAAAAAATGCACAATCCACTAAAAACCACCCGGTGGCAGGAGCAGAGGAGAGGCCTGCACTTTTCCTGCCCACAGGAATTCCACCTGTACTCACCAAAGAACCAGGACACTTCGAGAGACCCCTGGCAATCCTGCCTGAGCATCACCCTGCCTGAGGAGCTCCTCTATGTCCCTTCTGCCACCCACCTGCTCTCCTGAGCTGGCACAGCCCACGTGGGGGACATGGTGCCATCAGGGTGAGTGGACACCCCCAGGTCATCCCAAGAAATTCTGCACTGTTGGCTTTGTTTTCACACACGGAGCTCCACAGTGGGCTCAGACAGCCAATCTGCAACATCCTGCACTACATTTTTCCTTCAGCAAGGAAAAATTCCAGTTTTTCAGTGCTACTTGGAATAAAAAGCACCATTAGCTTGGAAGGCAGAATGTACCCCTGGACCCCACTCTCAGAAATCCATCCCACCAGCCCACAAGCACACATCACTCACAATAGCTGGTACTGCACTAAAAAACACACTCAGCAACTCCATGATCTGCTCCCAAAGGGAATGTCAATGTAAAAGGAAGGCTCTTTTGGTCTGTAGGATTTCAATAGTTCAGCTAAAAATTTCAATCAAGATATTATGCAATTTGGTCTTCTGAATTAGGTGGACAGATGGCAATTCATCAATCAAAACAAAACACAACCCAAAGTAAGGTCACTTTGATGACTTGCAGCTACAAACAAAACAAACCAGTGCAGTAGGATGAAGTTCTCTGCTGGCTCCATTTAGCATCCACAGAAAATCTTAAAATATTTCCCCCTCTTCCATTATTCCTGAACATGATCTTTCAAGAGATCAATTTTTTAAAAAAGCAAGCTGGAGTTCTGGAGTTCTCTTTCTAGAAAACAGCAAACTCTAATCTGAATTTCTACAGGATGAGTCACATCTGTGTTTTAAGATGCCTTTCCCTTCCTCCCTCCCTGCAGTTCTCCTCCATCCCCCACGATGGGCCCTGCCAGCCAGAAGAGAACTTCATCAAAAAACACACACGGTGTGATTATAAAACACCAACCAAGTGATCAGCCGTGGCCACCACACACCAAAGTCACCCTGTGAACAGCAGATGGACGGGATGCTGCTGGCACCACCACGAGCCACGGGCAAAGGCCACCCAACACAAGGAGCACGGCCAAACCTGAGCCCAGAGGCAGCAGCGGCACAGGAGGGACAGCAGGGACTGGTGCCAGCCCACGCTCCTGGCCACATGGCACCATGCCCCAGCAGCCAGAATTGAACCAGAACAGAGATGGTCACTGGCAGAGGGACACAGGCTCTGTCCTGCTTTGGTGGGGGACAGAACTAAAGGGTTGTGCAGGCCTGGGTGGAGATGTTCAAACATGTCAGGGGAGGCACCCGTGGCTCCAGGCAGATGAAAATGTCCCTTTCAAAACCTGCCATCACCCAGGTCTCCCCACCACTGCAGAAGAGCAGGGCTGGCTGGGGGACAGCAAGAAAAAAGGACAAGTCAGGAGGAAATGTGTCTCACTTCTCTCCCCAAACACTGGGGAAGAGGAACAAGCTCTCATCAGCAGAGCTCATCTCAGAGACACTTCAAGTATTTGACTATTTTGTATCAGATTTACACCTGAAATGTGCTTTAGCTGCACCTTCTCAGCTCTCTGCCATCCAGCAGGACTTCCTACACATGAACCATGAGCTGTTCCTGCAAGCTGCTCCTGCACACTGCACGGGTTTGGGAGAGCAACAAGGTGGGAGTTCCTGAGCCCTCGGTCTCTGCCAGCCCTGCTGGGAGCTGGTTTTGTCAGCTCTGAAGAGGTGGAGACAGCTGCACCCCTCTGTCAGGAGGGACACGGCATCACACAAACATTTGGGAAACAAGGAGGGGCACAGGGCTCTTGGCAGCCTCACAGAGATCAGCACACAAATGCCACCACCACGACCAGCCTTTTATTCCTTGAAGAATAAAAGAAACAGAGCCCTTTGTGTCTGCCAGCGAAGGCACAAATTCTGGCATTTGACCCCAGGAATTTGGCCTCCATTTCCACTAGAGCTGACCCATTGGCTGCCACAGGGACACCCACACTGCCACAGCACGTGATGGCAGGAGGTCTGGGGGTGCTGCAGAACCAGCTGAGCACAGCCCCTGGTGATGTGACACTTCCAGGTGACACTGTTGTATTTTCTGAAAAAATCCCTTCGCCAGGATTCTTCTCCTGGGAAGCTGAGAAACTTTAGAGAAAAAGAAAAATTATATTATCTTATTTGCTTCTCCTGTGTTTTGCTACTTTGGAATGTGGTTGGAGATTGTTTATCCAACAGGTAATTGTTTAATTAATTTTTGCTGTGAATCATTTTGACTTATCGGCCAACTGGGGCCAAGCTGTGTTGGACTCTGAAGAAAGAATCATAAAATTCATTAATATCTTTCTAGCTTTCTGTAAGTAATCTCTGATCTTTTCTGTATTCTTTAGTACAGTTTAGTATAGCATTCTTTAATACAATACAGATCATAAAATAATGAATTAACCTTCTAAAAACATGGAGTCAAATTCATCATTCCTTCATTTGTCTAAAAGCCCCACAAATACAAGATCCAGGCACTGCCTGCAGGGCAGATCCAGAGGTGTATTTTGAAGTGGGCTCCTGAGTTTAAAGCTGCCCTGGGAAGCACATCCCACACTTGCACTGGCAGTGCCAGGGCACCACGGCACAGCTGGAGATGCAGGCACACATCCTGGTGTAATTCACACTCCAAGGAATCGTTCCTGAGGGACACTCCCAAGCCAGCAAGCACTCACCTCGAGGAGACACTCAGAAAACGTGTGTGGAGTGCAGGCAGGGCTGGCCACGGCTATCAGAGGGGCCCCAGCCACGATGACAGGCTGTGGAAATGTCAGAAATTCAGGTGCTGTTCCCAGTCCAGACATGAGGAGGAGGCTGCAGGATGTCCCTGCCTGCCCACCAGGACTGTCACTCCAGGAGGGGATCACAGTTTATCCACTCACACCTGGGTGCAGGTCAGGACAGTGGCTGTGCCCTGACCATCCCTCACCTTTCCCTGACAGGGCTGGGCTCTAACCACAACACGACAAACCTCCAACTACTGAAATGTCCCTACTAAAGCTGATTTAAAAATGCACTGAAATGTCAACAGCTTCTGCCTCATCAGCCAGCTATCCCAGCCAGCTCAAAGTCACACAAGGATGAACTCTGCAGATCCATGGGATTTATCATCACCTGCTGCAATACCACACAAACACAAAACAGCAAAGCGGTCAAGACAATTTCTGCTCCTCTTGGAACCAATTTGCCTGTCTGCCTTCTCCTCACCCTCCTCTGTTCCTCTGAGAAGATTTACACAGCAGCCTGTGCAAACAGGTACAGGACTGAGCTGCAATCACCAAGGCAGGATGTGCCACAACAGACTGTCCCAGACTGTGGTAAGTGGGGAAAAAACAGAAAGAAGTAAAAAAAAAAAGGCTGCAGACTACAGATGGCAGTACATCTCATAAAGATCTAATACTTTTTCTCAGCTCAACCAAGAGTCTGAGATCAACATGTTGAGCTCCACCATGAGTTATAGCCAGGCTCAATAGCTTTATCCTCTGCATCTTGCTTCCCCCACACCCAAAGGAAGAAGGAAAAAAAAAAAAGAAATCCATGATCCTAAACAAAGGCATGCTGGGCCAGACCAAAAATAGTTTTGGAGAGAAGCAGGCTGAAAAACACTCAGGTAGCAGTAGATAACATCTGCCTGAAACAAGAGCCATCTGGCACCAAGGAAAAAGCCACATGGAAGTTTATCCACAACCAGTCAGCTCTCCAGAGAAGGAAAAACCCCTCCCCTCTGCAGTTATCAGCACAGCCAAACCAGAAATTAACTGACAGAAGAAACAGGGACTGTTTCACACCAGTGCATGACAGGAACCTGAGTCCTTCCACATCCTTGTGTAGGATGGTAGGGAAAACCAGGGTCTCCAACAGATCAACCCAGAAAGCCCCAGAATTCTGCCTTTGATTGAGCTTTCCAATTTTCTTCTGCAATTTAGAGAAAATTGATGGCAGAAACATCTCTGAAGTCTTCTGAAATACCTGACAAGTTTTGGAATAATACACATTAGTGACTACTTTCAACAGGTTCCATTTTTAATGGCCTTTCTTTCTTTACACATGATCCCTTTCACTGACCTATAGTTAAAACTATCCACTCATTTGATTTATCTAAACCCCTTTCTTGGAGAGATGAAGTATTTTGAAGTAGAATGCTTCAGCTATGGAAAAAGCAATGAAATATCTCTTTTTGATAAAAGAAGGCCTACATTGATAAAACAAGTAATTAAGTAATTTCTCAGTCAAGAAAGAAATTCTATTTTAAGAGTTTGTGATCTCAGCCACCAGTTGTGCCTTTGTGGCAGTAGAACATTTAAGACATCTCAATCTAATCCTTCCACACCTTCCTGCAAGCTGGAATCGTGGGGGATGCCTGGATGCAGCATGGTTTTTCCAGCCTCTCTGCTTTGGCCAGGGCAGCTCAACTCTGACAGAAGAGAGCTAAAATGCTCAAAGCTGGTGACAGGGAAATTGCAGGGGACAGCACAACTCTGTTTACAGCACTTGGAGACTGAGAAACAGGAGACTGAGTTTTAACTCCGAGGTCCAGGACTTTTCATCTTTTGTGATCATGGAGTATATTTAGCTCTGGTATGTAGCTTGCTCCCATCCGTGGGGAACAAGTTCTTCATAAAAGTCGTATTTAGAAGTGACCCGGTGTCCTTGCTACCAAATTATCAGCACAACAACTGTCTGGTTCCCTGGCTGGTGCCCTCAGCGCCAGGGCAGGATGCCCAGGGCTGCATTCATCATTCGAATTACTGGGCATGTGCTTAATACTACGAGTTGGGGCCCATATGCCAACAGCTGCTCAAAGGAAACATGAGATCAAGCACAAGCTGAGCTGCTCTGCAAATTCAGACATGTGCATCAATCTGCCACGCTGGGACTCTGTGGCACCAGACACAGGTGAATTTTGGATCTGTCACTGCCCAGCTCCTGCACCAATGGGAAAGGACTCAGGTCTCTGCTGCTAAGGAGGATGGAAAGGAAATCCACCAGAGGCAAAGGAATCACACAGAGAAGATGGCACAACTCAAGCCATGTGCTGTAAAAACAAAGCTAGAGCCAGCTCAGGCTGTCTCTCCATCACACAAGCTCATGCCCTGACTGCCCAGGAATGGCTCAGATCCTTCACCCAGAGCCTGTCCCTTGCAACAGATCTGAGCTCACACATCATTCACAAAGCCAAGGGTGAGGTCACTGTAGCAGACCACACTTTTGTATTGGTTTACAGGCAGAACATGAGCAAATTCTGCCCTAACCCAAAAAACAGGCACACCAAACCTTTGGGTCTGACACCAGCACTTGACACCTTGAAGTAGATGGTCAAGAAAATTCTCAAAGCTGTCTGAGCTGCTTATAAATACATGTTTACACTTAAAACCACACAATAAAATAATAAAAAAATAAGAAAGGGATTTCTTTCCGACTGGCAAGCATTTGGTCTGAACAGCAGTCACCATGCATGGGAACCAGCAGCTGAAGCCGTTTGGAAAAAGGATTTGGACATTTCTTAGGAAATGCCCCCTTTCCTCCCCCAAGCTTTCATGCTCCTGGCACAGGACAACACCAGGTGCTGGGTGCTCCATCCACATGAGCCTGGCAGAGTGGGATGGGATCCTGCAGCTTCCAGCTCTGGGTAAGGGGGCAGTGGAAGCTGGAGCAGGGGGATGCCAGCTGACAGAGGCTGGGCACAGCACGTGCCCTTTTATAACCATAACCACAGAAAAGATGAAAGTTTGTTGCCTTTTATTTTTAACCCAATAGAGAAATTTTAAGGATAAACAGCTGCAAGGGAGGCTGGGCTCACACAAAGAGAGACTTTCTTCACTTTCTAACTGCAGCAGCATCAACGCATGAAATTTTAAACTCAAGGAGATTTAACTCTTTGTGATCTTGCTGAGACCAAATGTGGGCCAGAGGCAGGGGGCCACCAAAACAAGGAACTACACATGGATGGAGTCTCTGGAGCAATGACATCCAATGTGCAGCTATGGAAAGAGCTGGATCCTGCCACAAGAGACAGCTTCATGTTTGCAAGAGCTCAGTCACTTACTCAGCCACTGGTAGATCTCCCACACAGATAGTTCCTTCGCTGAGGCACAGCCACAGGAATGCATCTGCCATATGCTGTGTCCAGAGCAGCAAGCACAGAGAACCAGGGAATCCCCACTCCCTGCACACACTCAAACCTGCTTCCACCTCCAGAGTGCCAGAGGAGGGAACCACGAGGTGGGACCAAGCAGCTCTGCCACATCACCTGATCACATGAAGCATGGCAGCTGCAGGGACACACTGGCACTGCCAGGTGCCTCCAAGCAAAGCACAGTCTGCAAGCCCCAGGCTGAGCCCCAGGCCCAATGCTGCTTCCCTAAACTCAGCAGCCGGATCTCCAAGTCACAGACACATCCTTTGCCTTGCATTACTGTTAAGATCTCTGGTTACAACAAGCTAGAAACTTCTTTTCCAAACAGGATTTACTACTGACTCCGTGCTGTCTGCTGTGCAAGTGCCTCCCCTGCCAGGACAGCAGGAGGAAGGAGAGAGGCTCCTCGTGGTTTCTCTTTCTGTTCCACATAGCCCTGGCAATATTTACAGCTACATTTAGGTGTCTGGGGCTGGGGGGAGGAAGCTTTCAGTATATAAATAATCCTCTCTGGTGTTTGGGTAATTTTCATAGTTTCCATTCATTTCAGGTTTCACCAAAACCTGCGTTTTGTGGCTTGATAGCTGGGACATGACTGGCTGCTTGCTCTTCGTTAACTGCCCAGGAGTTAACGGCTCTTCATTCATTCCTGCCCTGCCAAGCACCCTGTGCCCCGTGACAATCATCTTTTAGAAACCACAATGCCAACCCCTGGGCACAAACACTTTGCAGAGACAGGAACTGCAGGAGGGAGAGCCAGGCAACATCTCACACCAGGGGTAAAGCAGCTGAGCCACTGAGCCCCAGCAGTTCAGTGACAGACCCTGACAAACTCCTCATCTGCCCTCATGTCCCACTGAGGAACAAGGAAATTGTGGGTCCAAGGGAATGCAGGAGTGGAGCTTGGCAGGCTTCTTAGTTTTGTTGGTCTATTGAGTAGACAAAGAGGCAGCTGAGCTCTGCTGCTCGACTGAGCACCTGAGGCTTTGCTCAGAAGCCACAGAGCAGCCCCAGTGGTGGTGCTCAGGTAAAGGTGGTGCTCAGGTAAACACAATCTGCAAAACCCACATTTCCAGTGATTCTGCTGCAGCAATGACTGAATTCAATTAAATTCTTGTTTACTGATGCTTGCAAATAATGATATATAATCCCCTGCCTCCAGCCCTCCATTCTCCTGGTTCCTGTCTCTTGGCAACTGATAAATAATTTATAATGTTCTCCTCTGTATGTGCTAACTGCAGCTCTGCTGGTTTAATGATGAAACCAATGCCTAAGAACTGCAACAGGAACTGTCTAGATCACAAGGAACATGTAATCAGTCGATCCCACACTCCTCTGGATGTGAAACCAAAAGCAAACTGTTGGAAAAAAAAAATGTTTTCAAGAGCTGCGGCTGCGGGGTAGAAAGGGCACCCAGAAAACTGCAGATAATCTGCAAGGTGCTCCTGCCAACAAGAGGAGTTTTAACGGGCTTCACCATTTTGCTCTTTGCTCCTATGCATGGCAGGACTCGCCAGAGGCTGCTTTTATTGGCAACTTCTCTCCTGCACTCCCATGCAAAAGTCTCTGGGTTCACATCTCAAGGTGCTGCTGTTTGGGGGCTGTGAAAGCTCTTGCAGCCCCCATGCAAAGAGAACTATTAAAAAGCAGCATTTGCTCTATGCAGACTAACGTGGCTCTTGCCCCAGAAAAGGGGAGACTCTTCCTTTCATGGCAGATGTTTTCCAGGGCCTTCCAGCAGAGCTGTACCCGCCTGCGAGAAGCGGCGTGTTTGAACCGCACACAGCACACGTACACTGGGTGTGCACTATTGTGGCAACACAGCCTCTCACATCCAAACTCATCGGAGTGAGATTACCCAGGCTGTTGGCAACTGCGGCCATAAGGGCAGAGGAATGAAAGTTTTATTGTTAGCAGGTTTTTTTTTCCTTAAAAAAAAAAAAGGAAAAAACACCCCCAAAAAAACAAGAAGAGAGCAGGGAAGGGATGAAGTATTGAAAGGCCAAAATCCCATCTATTTATATTAGAGTCACACAAAAACCACACCAGGGCAGTGCTCAAAAGCTTTAAAAAATGCACCTACTTTCTTAATGCTCTTAGAAAATAATAATAAAAAACCTTATCAATATTCACTTTCTGAAATGGTGTAAAAAAAGAGCTGCATCAATCATTAAACAGTTAAATGAGGGCAGTATGACAGTCACTATTGTTCTCGTGAAGCACACTTGTCTTTTGCCGAGCAGCTGCCAGATCCTATTAGATGTATAAAAAGAGGACTTTTCTAACCGAGTAGGGATGGTATAAGCCATTGAAAACAGCGGACAAAAGCCCACTTTTGCAGACTATTCAAGCCTTGTATAACATCTGTCCAAAATCAATTTTTGACCTAATGTTACTTTCATTAAGTAACAGACTTTGTTTCCAATGCAATTTGTTTTCTGGGATAAAACTGTATCCTAAGCATTATTACGTGGGAAATGGCACAGAGGAAGCAGAGAATCTTATTTGAGAAACAGGAGAACAGAATTTGCTTAATTGTTTTGACACCTTAAGTACTATAATAGAGAAAGTATTTTCCATTTATTTGAATTCCTGTGAATTCTTGAAGCTGGCAAAACAGAGAGCAATGCACTGGGTTTATTATGACTAAGATTTACTGAGGATAAAGAAGGATCTTTGGGAATTACATTAAAGCTGACAAATGCACAAAACTTCTGAAATCTCCACCAGAAATAAAGTACTCAGAACATTAACAACAGCTGTTGAAACTGTCCACTCTTGATGGTGAAGGCTTTTTTCACACATTTTAAATAATGAGGAAGTTGATTTGTGACTCTGATTTCAAACAGACCGTTAGGAAACATTTCCACTTACCCAAAGGGTCTCTGAATGAAGGCTGGATGTAGCTGCTGCACACCTATGGTAAAACCTAAAAAAAAAAAAGGTTCAGAAAAAAAAGAAATATTAATGAATGGCATCCATTGTACCATTCAACTCGTAACACACAGGCAGAATTACAGCACACGTCTTTGCATTTGATCTGCTATGCATGTGAGCAAATTCAGAGCCCCATTTAGAAACAAGTTAAATTTAACATGCATATGTGATATGCACGAGGAGCAGATGGGAATTCATGATGAAAGCCCAGTGTGAACGTGCTGTAATGGAACAGACAATGGGGTATAAAGACTTATTTTACACACTGGGTACTGTGGGCATTAAACCAAAGGGAGAAATGACAAAGTGGATCTTACTGTTAATTCTCATGTAACAAAGAGGTTAACAGGCAAACTGTGGAAGGAAAAAGCTTCAACAGAGTGAAATGAACTTTTTTGAGTAACATTAGTGCACTAGGGCTGAGGAAGAAGATACAGCAGAGAGGTAACTGGACCATGCAGTGTCCTCAGCCAACAATCAGAACTATGGGGGACAGATAAATGTGCATCATCAGATGACTCCAGCCCGAGGAACTCGTTTCCTTGTCTTGCAAGTTATTCTAATACAGAGAGATGGGATCTCCCGGATGCCTCACCAGTTTGAATACTCCTTGGTTTTGCTCCCAAATACGCCAGGTTCACGTTTGCTTTCCTGCCGTCAATGATGGGGTTTGGGTCTTTACAAGCTCTTTCAGCAGCAGCTCTGTCTGCCATGGTCACCTGGAATCGAGCACAGCCTTGTTTGTAGCAACAGCGCTTTGTAAACACTCCAGCAACAGGCACTAAAGTGGAGTTTATTTATTGTTCTATTTTGAATCGGGAGCTGAACTCCCTTCGTGCAGCCTCGCTTGCACGGCGAGCTGGGAAGGGCTGCCGGGACCCGATGGAAAAGCGGGCGCTCCCCGCTGGGCCGGTGCCAGCTGTTTTCCCCTGCCCCTCCACCTTTTTTAAGAAGCCTTTTCTAAGAAGCCAGCGGAGCCCTTCCCCAAACCCCCGGCGCACCGGAGCTCAGCGCAGCTGCGGGCGGGATGCGGGACCCGCACGGGCACCGGGAGGGGGGAGCAGGTGCTGAAACGAACGGCACGGCCCCGGCCATCACGGGGGGCTCCCCCGGGTCCCCAGCCCAGCCTTTGTCCTGAGCCAGCCCCTCGCTCCCGCAGCGGGCACAAGCTCCGCGGCACCGGGGGGTCCGCCCGGCCACAGCGGGGCTTTGTGCGGGAGTTTGTCCGGCCACACCGGGGCTTTGTGCGGGATTTTGTCCGGCTACACCGGGGCTTTGTGCGGGAGTTTGTCCGGCCACACCGGGGCTTTGTGCGGGATTTTGTCCGGCTACACCGGGGCTTTGTGCGGGAGTTTGTCCGGTCATACCGGGGCTCTGTCGCCAGCCCAGGCTCCGCTGCCGGCGCGTTGCCGGCGCCCGGGGGGCAGCGCCCGTCCCGCCGCGGAGCGGAGCGGACAGCAGCGGCACTTACAAAGCCGTATCCTCGGGATTTGCCGGTCTGCCGGTCCGTGATCACCACCGCCTCCTCGATGTCCCCGAAGACCTCGAAGTACTTCCTGAGGGAGGAGTCGGTGGTGTGGTAGGGCAGCCCCCCGACGAAGATCTTGGTGAAGGTGGTGTCCTTCTGCACGGTGTGCATGGTGCCGGCAGCGGCCGGCCCCGGCCGGCATCCACGCCGAGCAGAGCCGCGCCCCGCCGAGCCCCCCGCGGCGGCCGCCCCGGCCCGGCGGCGCCTCACGCCCCGGGGATCCCCCGGCCGGGCCCCGCGGGAGCCCGCCGAAGGTCCCGCCCGGGCAGCGGTGTCTCCCGCAGCGCCAGCGCGCTGCTGTTGCACAACCATCGCAACGGCGAGGGCTCGGTCCCCGCGAGGCTCGGGCACGGCGACAAAGGCGGCAGCCGGCTGCCTGTGTGGGTGGCAAAGGCGCGGTCCGGGGCAGGGCAGGAGGAAGGGGTGGCGTGGGACGGAATGGCCGAGGAGAAACAGCCAGGGACGGGTCAAGGAGTGAACAAAGGTTCAGAACTATCGTTATCAAGCAGGTTCTTCAGCCTCCTGCTTCTCCGCTGGGCACCTGGATATGTCCCTGTGCAGCCTCTCTGGGACAGGGATGCACCGTTCCCATTCCCGCAATGGTCTGCAATGGGGTTCTGTGTCCCTGTGCAGCCTCTCTGGGACAGGGATGCACCGTTCCCATTCCCACAATGGTCTGCAGTGGGGCTCTCCTCCATCCTCCTGTTGCGTTTTGTTCCATGAAAGGACAGGCAGCTCCTGCTGTGAAGTGCCACTGCCTATGACATGGCCTGCGGGTTTGTGCCCTGACCTGCGCTTCAAACCTGGGAGAATTGTTACTCATATCTGCTGCATGTAGCCCTTGGGCCATAACTGCAGGAAAATAAAAGCTGAAAGGGTACTTGGGACTTCAGAACTCACCACTGGGAAACTCCAATGCAACGCTTTAATTCTTCTATCTCCAAGCATCAGTTGGAGTTTGGCGTGTGGGAGAGGATCCCAAAAATCGTTATTCGTTCATGCTTTCCATCACCCAGAATCTCAAGAACTGCCCCTGTGCCTTGGGTTTATCATTTCTCAGAGAAAGAGATTTTTTGCAACATGATAAATGCAGAGATAACATTCTAGGGGGAAAAAAAAAAAAGCCAGTGAAGTTCTAAATCATCATCTACTTTGGCTTCTATACAGCAGGTTCAGACTCTGCAGACACTTTTTTTTTTGTTACAGACCCCACAGAGAAAAGCCAATTATTTCAAGAGAAAGGAATGCATTAATGTCTGCACTCCATAGTTATTCATTAATATTTTTCTTGCACTGCTTCCATAGTTCTAAACACCCTATGCTTCATAAAAGAGAGAGGGGGGAGAAAAAGCCAAGGAAAGCCATTAAGCTTTCAGTCCTGAACCACCAGACTTCAAGACTAGGGTGCATTTCCTTTGATTACTGTGGAAGAAAGATGGAGCTGGGCCAGCAGCACCCAACATCACTGAAAAATTGACAGCAAATGGATGGTCCACGGAGCCTTTGTGTCTTGTGAAGCCACCAGCTGTGCCTGCTCCATGCACACAGCAAGCCTGGAACACACCTTTGGGCTCAGGCTGCAGCCCCTCCACGCCCGAGTCTCCCCTTCTGTCTGCATGGCTTCCACCACAAACTGCACATCAGCTGCTTCTGGGCTGCCCCAGCTAATGACAGCCCAGCTGGCATTCAGTCACTGTCCTTTCACAGAGCTTCATTCTGCTCCAAATGATGGCAAAGATTCAAATCCTCCAACCAGACTCTGGCAGAGTTCTCCAGAGAGACCAGCAGCATCTCTGCTCTCCATGCTTGTGCTTGTCGGGGGGGAAAACAGGGGCTTTTTTCTTCTTCAGACACGAGCCCCACGTCTCTCAAAGGAGAAATCCCATCTCCCCTTCTTCCCTCGAGGCAGGAACAGGAGTTTCTTACAGCAGAGCAGAAGAAGGAAGGAGTTCAGTCCAAACCTGTGCTCGGTGAGCAGCACAAACCCCCCGGTAGCGCTGGCCTGGCCTCGGCTCTGCCACATCCTGGAAAGCAGGAGGGGAAATGAAATCTCCTGCCTCATGGTGCAGCTATTGCACACACAGCCTCTAATGAGCTGTTACCACAAACACAGCAGGAAAGAGAAGAGAAAGTGAGTAAGGATAACTTTATGGAAGTTAATTAGTTTGCTTTTATTTTTTCCGCCTCGTTCTTGTGCAAAGCACTCATCCTCCTCAAAACACCTACAGATAAAATCCAGCCATCAGATCAAAGCTGCAGGAGCTTGGCAGAGCCAGTTTGCTGACACCTCCCTGTGCTTTTACTGCAACAATAGGAGTACCTGGGAAGAGAAGAATATATTTCAACTTTCTTTGAGTTCTATCAAAGATAACTCCTGTAGAGGCAAGCATATCTCAAAGTATGAGGCTGCCTTGGGGAAGGCAGGACATTGCTCAGCACAAATCTAAGAGCAGACTGCAAGCAAAAAGGAGAACACAGACCTGATATAAACCATTGTAGGGGTGCATTTAGTCCTTTGCTGTTATTAAGAAATAAAACTACACATGTCAGTCAGTGAGGAGGCTGGGAGAAAAGTCATCTTTTGCAGTGGGTGAACAACCATCCATATCCTTAATGTACAGGATTTGTATTGCACATCCAGAGCATCCTATTCTCATTGAGATTCTGAAGATTAATTTTATGATCATTCAACACAGTTAAGAGGACTCACTGGGTTTTTACTTACATGTTAATACATTCCTCAAGGCTTATGGAAAATTGATACACAAAGGCTCCTTCTGGTGGACTTCAGTGCTATCCAAGAGGTGGAATGGAAGAGCTGCAGGTCACCAAACCAATGTGCTGGATTCCACTGGCAATCCTAGAGGAGGTGGCACTGCAAGATGATCCAGGTACAAAACCACATAGAAATGGTCCCTGCCTAAAGGATGAAAAACAGATTATAGCAGAAAGTTATACCTTTGGGAGCACAAGAACAGGGCAGAGGTGGGGAAAGAGCAGCAGGGAAAATGTTCCCTGTTCCTTGGCCTCTGTAAAGCCCCAAATTCCCTTCTCTTCTTGGCAGTGTAGCTTTGTGGTGCTCTCCTTGTACACTTGTCTGAGCATTTTTTCTGATTTCTTCCCCAGTGTCTTTGGGAAAATTGATTTGAGACACCCCAGGTCTGACCTGCAAGCCACTGAAGAACCTGCCTCATTTCTTAGCAAACTGATGGGCTTTATTTCTAAAATGGAGCAGGGCTGCTGTGGAGCTCTGACCTTTTTCAGTTCCTGCTGTGCTTAGCCAAGACTTCATTGCTGTAGGGCAGTGCCCCTGGGTTTTGCCATGGATACCCGCTTATTGCAACAACAGCAGATGAAACATCCCCTTAGAAGCTCCACAGTTAAATAAGTTAACTGGAGAGCAAGGGACTTACTGTGGGAACTGTTTGGTTTGTTGGTTTTACTAATGCTCAGTCTGGATGCTGGCCACCAGCGAGGCTGTGAACAGGGAGATCTTGAGGGAGCTGCATTCAGTGGCATTTGGTTTAGGTTATCGCAGGGAATTCTGCATCTGGGCCCTCTGTCTCAGATTTTTTGGTTTGGTGCCCTGAGCACACCATAACAATTGCTTAACCCAGAGCTGCTGCTGCAACAAGAATTGAAAAATTAAAATTGTTCTTCTTTGGGCCACTTGTAACAAAATAGTTGAGCCTGGGAGGTTCTCAGTCAGGGCTGCTTTTTGGCTTTGGTTTCTGTAGGAATCCTCCAATAGGACTGTTTCCTCTTCTGAATATTCCAGAACTGGGCATGCTGAGTGAACTCTCTTTCCTTTTTCTGGCTACACTGGTTACACAGAAGCAGATCATCAGCTCTAGTGGGCATCTAGAGTGATCTGATTTATTATTCCAGTAACCTGCATTAAAAAAAAATATGGATATGGACATTGGTAACTCTGGGACTGAGAGAACAACAAATGGAACACCTCACTCAATTCTGCTGGACCACAAGCATATGTTAGAGTGTGGCTAAAGGAAATGTCATTAAAAATCTAATTCTGCTTCCCCAAACTTTCCTGCCCTCCCATTTGATGTCCCTTCAGAAAATGAAAATTGCATCTCTGTGCCATGACAAAGGACAAACAGAATCATGGTGATTGCAAATAAGATTCCTGAAAAAGGAGAGGCTTGGAAGAGACATTGCAGAGCTCATAAGTGCTTGGAGGAGCTTGCCACAGGAAGTGCACTGCAAGATGAAAATAAAGGCATAAAATGTGGCCAAGGAAACTAAGAGGCTGTGCCATCACATTGCTCATACCTCTGCAACTGCCAGCAGGGAGAATGTCTGATATTCAGGAATCTCGTGCTTTGCTCTTTGTGCCACCATCACCATTTCCCAGGAGTTTCTCAGAGCACAGCTTGGCACTTTTCCTTCCACATGCCCCTGTGCCAGCTGTGTGTGTCAGGGGGAGGATGAGCAGCTGTTTGGCACCAGGAAGCACTAGGTCAGCAAGGAAAGGTGCTTCAGTGACCCTGTGGTGGTGTTCCTTCAGTGGTGAAGATGAGCTGCAGTGGGCACACCTACATTTCTTGGTGCTTTTTCCTCTGCCCTTGGGGAATTTCTCCTCCACCATCCCCAGTTCAGTGTTTATCCAGGTACAGCTCCTGGGAGCTGTGTGTACAGACTCTCCCAGCCCTGGCAAAACACTCTGGGGAGCTGGAATGACACTGGGCTGGGGATTGTCACAGTGTGACAGCAGGGAGCTGGGCTGGCTCTCTGAGCAATCAAAATACTGCCCTTGATTAGGATGGTGGCTTGTTTTCTGGCATTGCTGGCATCTCTGCCAAATAGTTTTGTCATCGTCAGTATTGTAATGTCTTGGCCTAGAGCAATGGTAACCCTTGCCTTTCCTGTGACCTTGGGGATGATCTCTCTCTGCCCTCTCAGAGAATGACTAATGAAAAGTGCAGATGTTCATATTGCAGCTAAGTTATGCAGCAAATTCAGGAAATCCTTCACTAGCTGGTGTTAGTTTCTTCTTTACTTCATAGAAGGCAGGAAAGGGATGATAAAGGGTTAGAAGCAGAAAAGGACCAGGGCAAAGCAAACAGCTCCTGGTGGTTTCTGGGACAGAAATTTCTCTCCAGATTTTCTACCACAACTCCTCCACTGGCAGTAAGCACTGGGGAGCAGGAGCTGTGAGACAGATCCAGAAAACATTTTCCTGCTATGACAGCA